ACCTTGAGCAAGTTACTTAATTTCTCTATGCCTCATTTTTTTTCATCACTAAAACAGGAATAGTGTTAGGTTTGCTATGAAGATTAAACAGTTAACATTTATGAAAAGCTTAGAGCAGTGCCTGGCACAAAGCAACATTAAGTATTAGTTGCCTATAATCCCAGCACTTTGGGAGGCCAAGGTGGGTGGATCACTTGAGGTCAGGAGTTTCCAGCCTGGCCAACATGGTGAAACCCCGTTTCTACTAAAAATACAAAAAAAAGAAAAAAAAATTAGCCGAGTTGTAGTGGCACAGGCCTGTAATCCCAGCTACTCAGGAGGCTGAGGCAGAAGAATCGCTTGAACCCAGGAAGCAGAGGTTGCAGTGAGCCAAGATCATGCCACTGCGCTCTGGTCTGGGTGGCAGAGCGAGACTCCATCTCAAAAAAAAAAAAAAAAAAGAAGTATTAATTAAGGGAGTAAATTGTAGAAGCAATCTGGAGGCAGTGGCTCACACTTGTGATCTCAGCACTTTGGGAGGCCAAGGTGGGAGGATCACTTGAGCCCAGGAGTTCCAGACCAGCCTGGGCAATATAGTGAGACCTTCTCTCTATAACAAAAAACCTTAAAAAGATTGGGCTGGGCATGGTGGCTCACGTCTGTAACCCCAACACTTTGGGAGGCCAAGGCGGGCAGATCACTTGAGGTCAGGAGCCCCAGACCAGCCTGGCCAACATGGTGAAACCCTGTCTCTACTAAAAATACAAAAATTTGTCAGGTGTGGTGGCGGATGCCTGTAATCCCAGCTACTCAGGAGGCTGAGGCGGGAGAATACCAGGCTAGCCTGGAATTCCTGGTCTCAAGTAATCCTCCTGCCTTGGACTCCCAAAGTGCTGGAATTAACAGGCATGAGCCACTGCGCCTAGCTGCCAAATCTTAGAATGAGGCCTAGTGAGTGAGGACTAAACTCTGACCTTTTTTCTTTCTTGTCCAAATTCCTATCTGTAGAACTTGGGGAGTCATGTCCTACAAGTCATAAAAATCTCATCAGATGGGTTTTGTTTAAGCCTATATAACCCATCTTACTTTCCAACTTGACTGGCATAACATTGACAGATAAAGAAGGAAATTAAAATATTTTTTCCCAAAATATGTTTCTTTGTTATATTTTGAAATGGTCCTTCAAAACCGTCTCTTATGGGGGGAAATCTACATCTGTAAAGAAGCTGGCCGGTGGCTCACACCTGTAATCCCAGCACTTTGGGAGTCCGAGGCGGGCAGATCACCTGAGGTCTGGAGTTCCAGACCAGCCTGGTCAACACGGTGAAACCCTTTCTCTATTAAAAATACAAAAAGTAGCTGGGCATGGTGGCGCATGCCTATAATCCCAGCTACTTGGGAGGCCAAGGCAGGAGAATTACGTGAACCCAGGAGGCAGAGGTTGCACTGAGCCGAGATGGCACCACTGCACTTTAGCCTGGGTGATAGAGTGAGACTCCATCTCATAAATAAATAAATACATAAATAGAATCTCTATTGAAATAAGTAGATCTTTCCCCTGGCAGGCCATCCCCATCCTGAAGAGATTAACTGAGAATCCAATACTTGCTCTGTCACCCACGCTGGAGTACAGTGGCATGGCATGTGATCTCAGCTCACTGCAACCTCTGCGTCCCGGGTTCAAGCAATTCTCCTGCCTCAGCCTCCCAAGTAGCTGGGACTACAGGCGTCTGCCACCATGCCTGGCTAATTTTTGTCTTTATAGTAGAGATTGGGTTTCACCGTGTTGGCCAGGCCAGTCTTGAACTCCTGACCTCAGGTGATCTGCCCACCTTGGCCCCTCAAAATGCTGGATTACAGGTGCGAGCCACTGTGTCTAGCGTAATTTTTTTTTTTTTTTGAGACAGGGTCTTGCACTGTTACCCAGACTGGCATGCAGTGGCATGATGTGGGCTCACTGCAACCTCTGCCTCCTGGGCTGAAACAATCCACAGCTTCAGCCTCCCAAAGTGTTGGGATTACAGGTATGAGCCACTACACCCAGCTTCTAGTACTTTTGGGTGGCCACCTATGAGACTTCATACTAACCCTGGTGTCCACAACCACTTATCTTGATAGACACTTTTCTATAGATTCTAGGTCTTTAGATAGTAACTTAACTCTTTCAACCAATAGCAATCAGAAAATCTTTTTTTTTTTTTTTTTTTTTTTTGAGACGGAGTCTCGCTCTGTCACCCAAGCTGGAGTGCAGTGGCCGGATTTCAGCTCACTGCAAGCTCCGCCTCCCGGGTTCACGCCATTCTCCTGCCTCAGCCTCCGGAGTAGCTGGGACTACAGGCGCCCGCCACCTCGCCCGGCTAGTTTTTTGTATTTTTTAGTAGAGACGGGGTTTCACCGGGTTAGCCAGGATGGTCTCGATCTCCTGACCTTGTGATCCGCCCGTCTCGGCCTCCCAAAGTGCTGGGATTACAGGCTTGAGCCACCGCGCCCGGCCAGAAAATCTTTTTTGTTGTTTTTTTTTTGTTTTGAGACAGTCTCACCGAATCGCCCAGGCTGGAATTCAGTGGTACGATCTCAGGTCCCTGCAACCTTGGCCTCTTGAGTTTAAGCGATTCTCCTGCCTCAGCCTCCTGAGTAGTTGGGATTACAGGTGCGCACCACCATTCCTGGCTAATGTTTGTATTTTTAGTAGAGACGGGGTTTCACCATGTTAACCAAGCTGGTCTCAAACTCCTGACTTCAAGTGCCTCGGCCTCCCAAAGTGTTGGGATTACAGGCGTAAGGCACCATGCCCGCCCCAATCAGAAAATCTTTGAGTCCACCTATGACCTGAACCCTCCACTCTGAGTTGCCTCACCTTTCTGTACAGAACCAATGTATACCTTGCATGTATTGATCGATGTCTTACGTCTCCCTAAAACCAAGCTATAGCCCCACCATCTGGGGCACATGTTCTCAGGAACTCTTGAGACTGTGCCTCAGGCCATAGTCACTCATATTTGGCTCAGAATAAACTTCTTTAAATATTTTGTTAGAGGAACCCCTGCTTTCCAGGCCTCTGGTTTAATAAAACATGACTCAAGTGACTCCATCTTAAACTAGCTAGGCACTTACAAGGCTCCTATAAAATTAATGCTTATGGTCTAAAAACAGCCACATTCTAAGCTTGCCACCAATTATAATAACAGAATATTTATGGCCATACAGGACATCTCCCACCAATCCTGCAGAATGTCCAGATGCTCTAAAGAGCAGCCAACTTTACTTAAAGATGATGTTAATGAGCAAGCATAGGTTGAAAGATTAATGGTCTCTGAAAGCACAATAGCCCCACCTTTAGTGAGCACATCTGCGCATTCCAAGTTTAATTACAGCTCTTTATAGTTTCTCATAAGTAGAGACAGTAACAAAGGACCGTGTGTTCCTCCGCCTGCTTTCTGAGGTTGCTCCGCTCTTCAACGGAGTAGTTTCCAATAAACTTCCTTCCTTCATTGTGCTCTGTGATTCACCTCAAATTATTTCCCGCACAAGATCCAAGAACCTTCTCTTTGGGTCTGGATCAAGACTCTGTTTTTACCGGTAACAATTTTACAGAGTTTGACTCTTTGTTGACAGGAGTCAGAGATTTTTTTTGTTGCTGTTCTTTTGCTTGGAGAAGGGTCTTGCTCTGTCACTAGGCTGAATGAAGTGCAATCGTGCAATCACAGCTCTCTGCAGCCTCAGCTTCCCAGGGCCCACATGATTTTTCCCACCTCAGCCTCCTGCGCAACTGGACCACAGGCTGCACCACCAGAATGGAATCAGAGATCTTACAATGACCTCCACAGTGAAAAGCTATGCATAGACTTCAAAAAGTGGTTTTAGGCTGGGCGCGGTGGCTCATTCCTTGGGAGGCCAAGGTGGACAGATCGCTTGAGCCCAGGAGTTCGAGCCCAGCCTGGGCAACTTGGTGGGTTCTCTCTCTCTCTCTCCTCTCACTCTTTTTTTTTTTTTTTTTTTTTGAGACAGAGTCTCACTTTGTCACTCAGGCTGAAGTGCAGTGGCAGGATCTTGGCTCAATGCAACGTCTGCCTCCTGGGTTCAAGCTATTCTTCTGCCTCAGCCTACCGAGTAGCTGAGCTGGGATTACAGTCATGCGCTACCACGCCAGGCTAATTTTGTATTTTTAGTAGAGACCGGGTTTCTCCATGTTGGTGAGGATGGTCTTGAACTCCCCGCCTCAGGTGATCCACCCACCTTGGCCTCCCAAAGTGCTGGGATTATAGGCTTGAGCCACCGTGCCTGGCCTCTTTTTATTAAGGTGGTTTTAGTGAGGCAGGAGGCAATAATTGCCAGAGGTAGCAATGAGACTTAAAAGCAGGTTACCCAATCCATTTCGAGGCCCTGTTGTCTATGGGGTTTGTGGTAGGCAACAGCCGTCAGTTAAGAGAACTGCAGGCGGCCGGGCGCAGTGGCTCACGCCTGTAATCCCAACACTTTGGGAGGCCGAGGACGGCGGATAACCTGATGTTAGGAGTTCGACACCAGCCTGGTCAACATGGTGAAACTGTCTCTATTGTGCTTTCAGAGACTATTAAAAATACAAAAAATTAGCCGGGCGTGGTGGTGGACGCCTGTTAATCCCAGCTACTCTGGAGGTTGAGGCAGGACAAATGCTTGAACCCGGGAGGCGGAGGTTGCAGTGAGCCGAAATCTTGTCACTGCACCCCAACTTGAGCAACAAGAGCGAAACTCCGTCTCAAAAAAAAAAAAAAAAAAGACTGCAGGGGGAGTAGGGAGCCAGATTTCATTTAAAGCAGGCAAAGGAGCATCTAGTATTTGAGGGCATAGATTTCGCTAATGACAGAAATGAGGCTCAGAGATTACGTGACTTGATCAGAGTCACAGTGAGCATAGCGGAGGATGGAACCAATGCTTCTTCTCTCTACACCGAGGTACAGTGCTCCATTTATGGCTTTTATGTGACGTAACAACTAGCATACACAAGCAAATGAACCCCACACACCAACAATCAGAAAAACCCGAAGACCCGAGGATCTGGGCAAGATAGCCGTTACGCAAGCGCAGAACAATTCGCTGGCCGCGCAATGCCGCGTGGGTCTTGTAGTTTCTTGGCTGGGCATGACCGGAAGGGAGGAGAGAAGGGCGCATGGCATGGCGGGAGATATAGTCCTTCCGGGAAGTCCCTCCTCCTTCGGAAGACTGGCGGCGCAGGCGCATACTGCTCTTCCTTAAGGGCGGGAGTCTCGGTTTGTGGTGGCTTTGCTGAGGCAGTTGTGCCCGCACTACCGTTAGAAGCTCAGTTTCCCGGAGGATGTAAGTCCCTTTGAGGCGAAATGGCTCGGGGCGAGAAAGGAGCAGACTTTGGCAATGGAAGGACCGCCGCGACCTCAGGCTGACCGTAGGGAGGGATCTTGAGGGCCCTCCGAGTCCCCTGGGTTTGCGCTTTCTTTCTTCGCAGCCGCCGTGCCTACCGCGAGGATGAGCTCGGCTTCGGTCACCGCTTTCGAGAAGGAGCATCTCTGGATGTATCTGCAGGCGCTCGGCTTCGAGCCAGGCCCGGCAACCATTGCCTGCGGAAAGATCGTGTCGCACACGCATCTCGGAGTGTAAGGAGGCCGGGGCTGTCGGGGCGAGGGAGCCTGAGCCGGGGGATCCCGGCCTTGCCCTTTTGTATACCCCGGAGGTTGATTAATCAGAATTGGTTGAGCGGTTACTCTGTGCCAGGCATTGACTCCAAAGTTCCTCCTCCCAGTTGCTGCCAGCCTAGTGGCAGAGGCAGACAGTAAATAATGGAAGAGTGCCGGAAGCGATCTGTAGGCGAGTGCAAAGTCTGCAGATGGGCAGAGTGCAAAACTGGAGGGACAGCTTAATTCTGCCTAGGTGGTGGAGGGGTGGTCTGTGGAGTAGTGGGAGGGATGGCGGGTAGTAGTGGAAGAGCAGGGGAATCTTACGTACAAAATGCCTTTTGAACTCAAGGGAGCCTTTGAAGGTGGTTTAACTTTATAATTTTTAATTTTTGAATTAGTAAGGCATGCTGGAGTTAGCATAAAACAACGGAGAAGGTATTAAAAACTAATACCCTGGCCGGGCGCGGTGGCTCAAGCCTGTAATCCCAGCACTTTGGGAGGCCGAGACGGGCGGATCACGAGGTCAGGAGATCGAGACCATCCTGGCGAACACGGTGAAACCCTGTCTCTACTAAAAAATACAAAAAACTGGCCGGGCGCGGTGGCTCAAGCCTGTAATCCCAGCACTTTGGGAGGCCGAGACGGGTGGATCACGAGGTCAGGAGATCGAGACCATCCTGGCTAACACGGTGAAACCCCGTCTCTACTAAAAAATACAAAAAACTAGCCGGGTGAGTTGGCGGGCACCTGTAGTCCCAGCTACTCGGGAGGCTGAGGCAGGAGAATAGCATAAACCCGGGAGGCGGAGCTTGCAGTGAGCTGAGATCTGGCCACTGCACTCCAGCCTGGGCAACAGAGCGAGACTCCATCTCAAAAAAAAAAAAAAAAAAAATAAAAAAAATACAAAAAACTAGACGGGCGCGGTGGCGGGCGCCTGTTGTCCCAGCTACTCGGGAGGCTGAGGCAGGAGAATGGCATGAACCCGGGAGGCGGAGCTTGCAGTGAACTGAGATCCGGCCACTGCACTCCAGCCTGGGCAACAGAGCGAGACTCCGTCACAAAAAAAAAACTAATACCCTTTTAATGAAAAGTATGGAAAGTAAAAGCCCCTTCCCTACTTTTTCCACTTCTGTTAAGGTTATGGATCTCTCCTAATAACCCACTGTAAATAACTCTGTTTTATTTCTATGTTTTATCAACTTTAGCCAGTATCTCTGTTTCATCATTCCCACTGTAGGCCAAGGGGAATTTGGGATAGATACATTGGCCATCTTCTATTCTCCTCAATCTGTTATATTTTTGTAAATTACATATTTTCAGTTCTTCTAGAGGCTTTTTTTTTTTTTTTTTTTTTAAACAGAGTCTCGCTCTGTCGCCCAGGCTGGAGTGCAGTGGCGCGATCTCGGCTCACTGCAACCTCCGCCTCCCGGGTTCAAGTGATTTCTGCCTTAGCCCCCTGAGTAGCTGGGACTACAGGCGTCCGCCACCATGTCCGGCTAATTTTTAGTAGAGACATGAGTTTCACTACATTGGCCAGGCTGGTCTCGAACTTCTGACCTCATGATCCGCCGGCCTCGGCCTCCCAAAGTGCCAGGATTACAGGCTTGAGCCACCATGCCTGACTGTGGCTGTGGTTTTTTCCTTGTTTTTGTTTTTGTTTTTTTTTGAGTCGGAGTCTGGCTCTGTCGCCCAGGCTGAAGCGTAGTAGCACGATCTCGGCTCACTGCAACCTCCTCCTCCTGTGTTCAAGCGATTCTTGTGCCTCAGCCTCCGTACTAGCTGGGATTACAGGTGCCCGCCACTGCGCCCGGCTAATTTTTGTGTTTTTGGTAGAGACGGGGTTTCACCATGTTGGTCAAGCTGGTCTCAAACTCCTGACCTCAGGTGATCCACCCGCCTCGGCCTCCCAAAGTACTGGGATTACAGGCGTGAGGCACCGCACCCAGCGACCTCTATTTCTTGATTCATCAATCTCTTTTGATTCCTACCATAATTTCACAATGAACCGAGCTATTATAAGATTTCCTTCCTCCTCCTCTGCCTTCCCCCTCTTGACTTGTTTTGGTTGTATTTTTTCTGTCAAGATTTACAACTGTAATTAAGTTTTGCTTGGTAATTATTTTTGAGAAGTTACTATTAACGTGTGTAGCGGCCTGTCTAGCAGTCTTTTCTAAAAATTGAGTACCGCCTGGCGTGGTGGCTCGTGCCTGTAATCCTAGCACTTTGGGAGGCCGAGGAGGCGGATTGCCTGAGCTCAGGAGTTCGGAAACAGCCTGGGCAACACGGTGTAACCCCATCTCTACTAAAATACAAAAAAATTAGCCGGGCGTGGCAGCGTGCGCCTGTAGTCCCAGGTTCTGGTGAGGCTGAGGCAGGAGAATGGCTTGAGCCCAGGAGGTGGAGGTTGCAGTGAGCTTAGATCGGGCCACTGCACTCCAGCCTGGGTGACAGAGGGAGACTCAGTCTCCGGGAAAAAAAAAAAAAAATTGACTACAAGCATATAGCATTTATCAGGTTCATGTATTATTTGTTTCACATGATTTGATGGCCCATAGCACAGTCACATTTTCTCTATACTGGTGGAGAAGTCTGAAGCTTTTCCAGAGTTCCGCTGAGAATGGCTCTCATTGTCACTGCGTCATTCTCTGCAGTGTTTTGGCAATTTTAGTTTTTTTTTTTTTTTTGGGACAGAGTGTGCTATGTCTCCCAGACTGGAGTGCAATGTCGCAATCTTGGTTCACTTCAACCTCTGCCTCCTGGGTTCAAGCAATTCTCCTGCCTCAGCCTCCTGAGTAGCTAGGATTACAGGCACCTGCCACCGTGGCCAGCAAATTTTTCTATTTTTTAGTAGAGACGGGGTTTTGCCACATTGGCCAGGCTGTACTACTTTGCATTCTACCAACAAGGTACAAGCATTTCCTTTTCTCTGCAAGATTCGCCATCTTGTAACACATGTCCCCTTTAAATGCTTTATTTTATTTTATTTTGTTTTTTTGTCTGTCGTCCAGGCTGGAGTGCAGTGGTATGATCTCAGCTCACTGCAAGCTCTGCCTCCCAGGTTCACTCCATTCTTCTACCTCAGCCTCCCGAGTAGCTGGGACTACAGGTGCCTGCCACCACGCTTGGCTAATTTTTTTTGTATTTTTTTAGTAGAGACGGGGTTTCACTATATTAGCTAGGATTGTCTCAATCTCCCGACCACCTGCCTCGACCTCCCAAAGTGCTGGGATTACAGGTGTGAGCCACCGTGCCCGGCTCTTTAAATGCTTTAAGCATGGATGTGGCATCAAATTTACTTTTTTGTTTTTATTTTTTGAGATAATCTGGCTCTGTCTTCCAGGCTGGAGTGCAGTGGCCTGAATGTGGCTCACTGCAGCCTCCATCTCCTGGGCTCAAGTGATCCTTCCACTTCCGCCTCCCAAGTAGCTGGAATTACAGTTGCCTGCTGCCATGCCTGGCTAATTTTAATTCTTTTTTTTTTGAGATGGAGTTTTGCTCTGTTGCCCAGGCTGGAGTGCCGTTGTGCGATCTCAGCTCACTGCAACCCCTGCCTCCCTGGTTCAAGCAATTCTCTGCCTCAGCCTCCCGAGTAGCTGGGAATACAGCCACCTGCCACCATGCCTGGCTAATTTTTTTGTATTTTTAGTAGAAACAGGGTTTCACCATCTTGGCCAGGCTGATCTTGAACCCCTGACCTCATGATCCACCTGCCTTGGCCTCCTAAAGTGCTGGGATTACAGGCGTGAGCCACCACGCCTGGCCGGCTAATTTTAATTCTATTCTTTCTGTAGAGATGGGTTTTCACTGTGTTGCCTAGGCTGATCTTGACCTTCTGGGCTCAAGTAGTCCTCCCATGTCGGCCTCCCAAAGTGCTGGGATTACAGGCATGAGCCACTGCACCCTGCCAAATTTACTTTTAAAATTGCTCAATGCACCTGTAAATCCAGCTGCTTAGAAGGCTGAGGTGGGAGATTGCTTGAGGCCAGAAGTTTGAGACCAGCCTGGGCAACATAGTGAGACCCTGTCTCTTAAAAAAGCAATTAGGCTAGACATGGTGGTTCACACCTGTTATCCCAGTGCTTTGGGAGGGCAAGGTGGGAGTATTGCTTGAGCCCAGGAGTTTGAGGCTACAGCGAGCTATAATGGTAGCGCTGTACTCCAGCCTGGGTAACAAGAGTGAGACCCTGTCTCTTAAAAACAAAAAAGAAAAAAACCCATTATTTTTTATTCACTTATATTTTGTACATACACGTTCTCTTTGGTTTGCAGTTTATGAGTTTTTTGTTTCTATGAGCCTGAACTGGTATGACCACTTTTCTTTCTTTTTTTTTTTGAGATGGAGTTTTGCTCTTGTTGCCTAGGCCGGAGTGCAGTGGCGTGATCTCGGCTCACTGCAACCTCTGCCTCCTGGGTTCAAGAGATTCTGCTTCCTCAGCCTCCGGAGTAGCTGGGATTACAGGCTTGCACCACTATGCCCCACTAATTTTGTATTTTTAGTAGAGATGGGGTTTCTCCATGTTGGTCAGGTTGGTCTCGAACTCCCGACCTCAGGTGATCCAGCCGCCTCAGCCTCCCAGAGTGCTGGGATTACAGGCGTGAGCCACCAGGCCCGGCTCCATTTTTTAAAAATGTTAAACATATGCTTAATATATGACTCAGCAATCCATTCCAAGATATTTGCCCAAAAGGTTTGCAGTTTGGAAAAATCATATGGTTGCATTACAGAGAATGGATAGAAGGGGAAGAAGGGCTTTGCAGTTAGTTATCTAGGCCTGAACTAAAGTGGCAGTAGGAATAAAAAGAGGTGATTCATTTATTTGTTCATTCAACAAATATTTATTGACCACAGTATTGGACCTGGCTATGCAGTGGTAAACAGAATAGATATAAATTTTCCCTTACAGAATTTTTTTTTTTTTTTTTTTTTTTTTTGAGACGAAGTCTCGCTCTGTCACCAGACTGGAGTGCAGTGGTGCGATCTTGGCTCACTGCAACCTCTGCCTCCTGGGTTCAAGCGATTCTCCTGCCTCAGCCTCCTGAGTAGCTGGGATTACAGATGCACGCCACCACACCTGGCTAATTTTTGTATTTTTAGTAGAGATGGGGTTTCACCATGTTGGCCAGGATGGTCTCGATCTCTTGACCTCTTGATCTGCCTGCCTTGGCCCCCCAAAGTGCTGGGATTACAGGTGTGAGCCATTGCACCCGCCCCCTTACAGTGTTTTAGTCTAGTGAAGGAACAAACCTTCAACAAATGTCTTATTACAAATTATAATAAGTGTCAAAGAGAAGAGAGCAAGGTACTTTATGAAAAGACAACAGGTTTGAGAGATGGTAGGGAAGTAGGATAGATGGAACTTCATTTGTGTTACTTGAAGAGTAGAGACATTCTAAGAACAAAAGTGTTGTTTGACAAATGGATAGGCATAGGAACTTACGCAAGAGAATGGTAATCCTAAGTCAGAAATTCACTTGATTTGATTTTTTGGAAGTAAATTTCATGGTTTTCCGTTTAAGTTAACTCTTGATTCCTTATAGTTGTGTGACATTTCTTAAAGGGTTTAGTGTTTTTTTGTTTTGTTTTCACTTTTTTTTTTTTAAGGCTTTGTTTTGATTAATTAGGGTAATTGGAACAATAAAAACTAATGCCAGCGTTATGTTATAAAGATGGTTCTGGGAATAAAAATCTAGTAGTGAAGACCCTGGACTCTAGGGTGAGGTGACATATTTCAAATCAGTGCTTTTCTACTTTCTGGTTAAGTGATTTTGGGCAAATTTCTAACCTCTAAATTTAGGTTTCCTCATCTGTATAATGAAGATAAACTACTATCTAGTGTCATTAGGATTAAATAAAATAATTTGTGTTAAAGTAGATAGTATGTGATAGTAGTGAAGATTAGCTAAGTTACTGCTTGTAGAAGGCTTAGAAGAATGCTTGGCAAATAGGAAACTCTTAATAAATATTAACTATTTACTGTTATTCAGTTAATGTAGGTTGTTACCATTATAAGGCATGGTTCTCTCTCGAATTAGGTTTTCCTTCCTTTTCTGTAGAGTGTTTTCATTAAAGCCAGTTCTGCCAGTCTTATATTGAATCTGTGATTTGAGAATTAGAAAATGAAAGCTTGCATGTTTTTCTTAACTGGTTATAAAATGTACATGAATGAGAAAAATTAATTTGCCTTGACTTCCTGAAGAGAATGAAAACATTAATTTGTGTCGAACTCTTACTCAGCTTTTGATGATGTTTGGTTTATTAACCATTTTCTTTTTCTTTTTCTATTTCTATTTCATTTTTAACCACTAGGAACATGTTTGACAAGCTGAACCGTGATGCCTTTCATATAGTTTCTTATTTTTTGTTTCAAGTTCTGGACCAGTCTCTCACCAAAGAAGTTTTCAAGTAAGGAAAAATAATTTCATTTTCTTAAGTGTCTTTCCAAATTTGAAAATGGACTGTGTTTTGATATAAGCCAGAATTTCTTTTTTCTTTTTTTTTTTTGAGATAGAGTCTCACTCCATCACCCAGGCTGGAGTGCAGTGACGCGATCTAGGTTCACTGCAACTTCTGCCTCCCAGGTTCAAGAAATTCTCCTGTCTCAGCCTCCCGAGTAACCGGGATTACAGGTGCCTGCCACCATGCCTGGCTAATTTTTGCATTTTTATTTGAGATGGAGTTTCACCTTGTTGGTCAGGCTGGTTTCAAACTGCTGACCTCAGGTGAACCACCCGCCTCGGCGTCCCAAAGTGCTGGGATTACAGGTGTGAGCCACCACACCCAGCATAAGCCAGAATTTCAACTTGGCCTTTGACTGATGTTTTGAATGAATATTACAAAATTCAGGTTTGAGTCTTATACATTTAATTCTTAATCTTTATAAATCTGGGTGACGTTTTTCTTTGGTACATATCTTAAAATCATTGTGTATTTTATAGGTAATATAGTTTTTATTTTATATAATTCTTAACATTTTCTTTATGGTCTTAATAATTAAGCAAATTATTGTTAGCAGCACAATTAACTGGTATCAATCTGTATGAACTTGATTTTGCCCTGTTTTTTTTTTTTTTTTGCTTAGTACTGTATGCCTTACTACTTTTCCTATAGGCAGTGTTGTTTTGTCTACATGGTTCTCTGTAAATCCTTACTTTTTTCAGTGATATATTAAAGCATCACTTGCTGTAGGGAAAAATCATTCCTAATACATTTACTCTTTTGTTGTATGCTGTTGTTTAAGAAGGAGATAAAAATGTAAACACCCACTAGTCTCAGTTCTAAGTTATTTTGCATGTGATTTGTGTTTCTGCTATCTAAAAAAGGGTTCAAATTTCTTTTGATATTTATGTTGTGCCTTCAATCTTTTATATAGGAAAGCAACAAGTAGATCTATTGCTTAGGGCATTATTTTCATTTTTGATAATCTATTTTGAATATTTTGCTTTCATTTAAAGTTCTGAGTGTGCAGGAGAATAGGTATGTTTGGATCATTTTTTGGAATTCCCTATTATTAAGGTATAGAGCAGCTTCTTCTGTCCAAACAAAAATAGATTTTTACTTTTTTTTTTTGCTGATTATCAACATTACGGCTCATTTTAAGTAATTCAGAAAATATAGGAAAATGTAAAAATTGTTTTGAAACCCGTCAACCACTGAGTATCACTGTTGACATTCTAGCCTTTTAGTCTTTTTATTCCCTATGCATGCTCAGTTTTTTCTGCAAATACTGAATGTAGTTATAGAAAAAGTGAGGCCTTAAATAATTATGCCTCAGAATAAAAATTTGGAAAAACCTGACTGAAAGGAAAGCAGTAGGTAAATTTTAAACCCTAATATTCTTGACCAAAGTTGAAGCAAAATTTTCTTTTTCATGTTTTTCTGTCTTGTTTAGCCACAAAGCAATAGCACCCACAGTATGATAAGGATTATCTCTAGGAGTCATGCTCTTGTATGCCATTTTTTGTCCTCTTCATATATATCTGTTTATGTTTCTGTCCCCCAAGATTACTATTTCTTTTCAGGCTTAATTTACTAGTTTATTTATTTATCTTTATGCACTAGTCCAGTGGATCCGTTGAGATTGTTGTCTTTAGCTGATTTTCAGCAATTCTTATAGCTGTTCATTCCCTCATTTAATACATTTTAGTTGTTTGTATGAAACAGAACTCAATCCTTTAGATGTTTATAAATTAAAAAATTCAATTTCTCACAGGTTGGTGTCTCTCTATCTGTTATTTAAGAATGTTAACTTTAATTCATTTCACTTTAATTTTTTTTTTTTTTCTTTTGAGACAGGGTCACCCAGGCTGCAGTGCAGTGATGCCATCTTGGCTCACTGCAGACTCCACCTCCTGGGTTCAAGCAGTACTCGTGCCTCAGCCTCCTGAGTAGCTATAGGCGCACACCACTATGCCTAGCTAATTTTTTTATTTTTAGTCGAGACGGGATTTCTCCATGTTGGCCAGGCTGGTCTCGAGCTCCTGGCCTCAAGCGATCTGTCTACATTGGCTTTCCAAAGTGCCGGGGTTACAAGTGTGAGCCACCACGCCCAGCCATGTGTTAATATTTCTGGTAGTAGAAATAAGTTTTTTTTTTTTTTTTGAGACAGAGTCTTGCTCTGTCGCCCAGGCTGGAGTGCAGTGGCCCAATCTCGGCTCACTGCAAGCTCCGCCTCCCGGGTTCACACCATTCTCCTGCCTCAGCCTCCTGAGTAACTGGGACTACAGGCGCCCGCCACCACGCCCGGCTAATTTTTTTGTATTTTTTTAGTAGAGACGGGGTTTCACCGCGTTAGCCAGGATGGTCTCGATCTCCTGACCTTGTGATCCGCCCGCCTTGGCCTCCCAAAGTGCTGAGATTACAGGCACGAGCCACTGCGCCTGGCAATAAGTTTGATTTTTAAAAAATTTGCTGAGGCTTTTTTTTTTTGGCTCTTGTTGTGCATAGTCCTAATGCTTTTATTTTTGTTTTCCAGATTTTGTTGGCCCCCATTTGACCAAAAAAGTGATACTGAATTCCGAAAACATTGCTGTGAATGGATAAAAAGGATTTCTGTAAGTATTCTTTTTGTTAGAAGATACAGACTTTAAGAAGTTAAAAACTACTTTAACTCTTTAACTTTTTAGAGGTGAAATCTTTTTAATGCTTTAATGCTATCAGTATAAGCAAGGAAATACTAGTTAAAATAGTCTTCTTTGATGGTTTTTGGTTGGGATTCTATGTATTTCGAAGAAACCAGCTTTGCTGGCCAGGTGCACTGAAAATAGGTTTTAGACTTCCTGAGAGTTTATAGCACAGTTTTTGTTTAAAGAAAACTTTTTCAACTATATATTATTTTAGTTTGCTTCCCCAGATAGTATCAATGATTGTGTCTGTATCATTATAATTGTTTTTTCTTACCAGGTCCACATAGAGTTTAGAAAAACCAAAACCCACAACGTTTAACTTGTGGTTTAAATGGAATAATTCTGATCAAATTCTTTTTTCTTTTTTCTTTTTTTGAGATGGAGTCTTGTTCTGTCACCCAGGCTGGAGTGCAATGGCACAGTCTTGGCTCACTGCAACTCTGCCTCCCAGGTTTGAACGATTCTCCCACCTCAGCCACCTGAGTAGCTGGGATTACAGCCATGTACTACCATGCCCAGATAACTTTTGTATTTTTAGTAGAGATGGGGTTTCACCATGTTGGCCAGGCTGGTCTTGAACTCCTGACCTCTAGTGATCTGTCTGCCTCGGCCTCCCAAAATGCTGGGATTACAGGTATGAGCCACCGCACCCAGTCCTGATCAAATTCTTTTATGCTTCAAAAACAGTATGATGAGGAGACAGTGGGCTGGGGGCCTTACCCCCTTGGACTGTTTTGTACTCTGCTGCAGAGTTGGACATGTCCAAGCCACTGTGCTATGAAGAGGTACTAGGGAACCCCATGCCAACCTGTAGCATAGTGCTCATGAAAATGTGGGACTTCTATTGCAAGACTGTCACACCCTTTAACAAAAATAGTATGATGTAAATGTAAGAGTTTTTGTTAACAAAGTCTTCAAATCATCTTACTTCTCTTCTTCATAGGGTGAATGTGGAAGTAGCTTTCCTCAAGTTGTTGGTTCACTATTTCTTTCTCCTGGTGGGCCTAAGTTTATTCATCTGATGTATCATTTTGCAAGATTTGTTGCAATGAAATATATTAAATCCAATGCTAAAAGTAAGTTCAACTTATAAAATACTTTTTTGTTTTGATTCTTAAATTTTTATTGTTCTTTACAGTTTTTAAATCATGAAGAGATCTTAGTAAAAGCAAGATAAGTTAAAACATTAATGTACCCCAAAAAGGAAATGGTTAATATTCTACTGGAACTGTACTTTGAAATCTTCTCATAATGAACATAGTTACTATTTATGTTTTTTTATTGTGTTCTAATACAAGGATTGGGAAACATTTCCCTTTTTTTTCCTCTAAGACAGAGTTTCACTCTCGTTGCCCAAGCTGGAGTGCAATGGCATGATCTCAGCTCACTGCAACCTCTGCCTCCTGGGTTCAAGAAATTTTCCTGCCTCAGTCTCTTGAGTAGCTGGGATTACAGGTGTGTGCCACCATGCCTGGCTAATTTTTTGTATTTTTGGTAGAAACGGGGTTTTACCATGTTAGCCAGGGCTGGTCTTGAACTCTTTACCTCAGATGATCTGCCCACCTGGGCCTCTGAAAGTGTTGGGATTACAGGCGTAAGCCGATGCGCCTGGCTTTTTTTTTTTTTTTTTTGAGACGGAGTTTTTGCTCTTGTTGCCCAGGCTGGACTGCAATAGCGTGATCTCGGCTCACTGCAACCCCTGCCTCCTGGGTTCAAGCGATTCTCCTACCTCAGCCCCCTGAGTAGCTGGGATTACAGGCATGCGCCTCCACGCCTGGCTAATTTTGTATTTTTAGTAGAGATGGGATTTCTCCCTGTTGGTCAGGCTGGTCACAAACTCCTGACTTCAGGTGATCTGCCCGCCTTGGCCTCTCAAGGTGTTAGGATTACACCAAAGTGTTAGGATTACAGGCATGAGGCACCACGCCCGGCCTTTTTTTTTTTTTTTTTTAATACTGGGGTTGCACCATATTTCCCAGGCTGGTGTTGAATGCCTGTGCTCAGGCAGTCTTCCTGCCTTGGCCTCTTAAAGTGCTGGGATTACATACATGCGTGAGCCACCGCTCCTGGCGACAATTGATACTTTTATCACTAGTGTATGGATAATGTCTGTTTTCCTAAAGGCTCATTAACATAGTATGTGACCAGACCTTTTTTTTTTTTTTTTTTTGAGATCGAGTCTCGCTCTGTTGCCCAGGCTGGAGTGCAGTGGCGTGGTCTCGGCTCACTGCAAGCTTTGTCTCCTGGGTTCACGCCATTCTCCTGCCTCAACCTCCCGAGTAGCTGGGATTACAGGCGCCCGCCACCACACCTGGCTGATTTTTTGTATTTTTTAGTAGAGACGGGGTTTCACCGTGTTAACCAGGATGGTCTTGATCTCGTGACCTCGTGATCCGCCAGCCTTGGCCTCCCAAAGTGCTGGGATTACAGGCGTGAGCCACTGCGCCCGGCCTGTGACTAGATACTTTAATCTTTTCAGTCTGATAGGTTACAGTGGGATCTCAGTATAGTTTTAATTTGTATTTCTCTTATTAGTGAGGTTGAAAATTGTTTCATGTTTAAGAGCAATTTGTACTTAAAAAAAATGTTTATTTTTTGGCTGGGTGTGGTGGCTCATGCCTGTAATCCCAGCACTTTGGGAGGCCGAGGTAGGCAGATCACTTGAGGTCAGGAGTTCAAGACCAGCCTGACCAACATGGTGAAACCCCATCATTACTAAAGTACAAAAATTAGCTGGGCATTGTGGTGGGCACCTGTAATCCCAGCTACTTGGGGAGGCTAAGGCACGAGAATTGCTTGAACCTGGGAGGCAGAGGGTGCAGTGAGCCAAGATTGTAGTACAGAATTCCAGCCTGGGCAATAGAGCAGACTCAGTCTCAAAAAAAATATTTTATTTTTTTTAGAGATAGGGTGCGTCTCCCTATGTTGGCCAGGCTAGTTTTGATTTGAACTCCTGGTCTCAAGTAATCCTCCCACCTCAGCCTCCCAAAGTGCCAGGATTTCAAATGTAATATGAGAATGTTTCCAATTTTTCTGCTAGTGGATGATCTGCCCCAATTACATGTAATACAAACTGTTTTATATAAAATATGCATGTTTGGATTTAATAAGGCATAAGACTTGTAAGCATGGATTGTCCTATTTCTGGATTTAAACCAATTCAGTCAAAATGTTCAGTCTCTAGGTAACTTCTAAATTCGGTAAACTCATTTCTTGTTAAATATTTAGTAATTCTGATGATTTCTTTGTTTTTCTTTTTTCCCTAGACGAAGTCTCACTCTGTTGCCCAAGCTGGAGTGCAGTGGTGTGATCTCGGCTCACTGCAACCCCTACCTCCTGGGTTCAAGCGATTCTACTGCCTCATCCTCCTGAGTAGCTGGGACTACAGGCACACGCCACCATGTCTGGCTAATTTTTTTGTATTTTTAGTAGAGATGGGGTATCACTATGTTGGCCAGGCTGGTTTCGAACTCCTGACCTTGTGATCCGCCCGCCTCAGCCTCCCAAAGTGCTGGGATTACAGGCATGAGCCACCATGCCCGGCAAATTCTGGTGGTTTCTCTGAGGCAATACTAGGACCTGGATAAGCAATGTTAATGCACTGTGGAAGTCCCTGATTTTCAGAATACTCATGTTTTTGTTGTATTGAGCCATGTTAAAGTAGGATTTATTACAGGTAAAAACCTGAACTCTGAAATATTTATATGGGTTATTCTCAGGTCTACTTTGGTTTTTAGTAACACAGTGAATAATTATTTGAGAAATGAACAGTGGTTTTATTTGGTTATCCTGTCCTATTGTCTTACTAGGAGGAAAAGTAAACTGATGGCAGCAGTGGAGATGATGTGATCCTCTCTTACCTTTTTATATTGACTTTCTTCCTTTGTTAAAAGGTTCTGTGGCTGGGCACGGTGGCTTACGCCTGTAATCCCAGCACTTTGGGAGGTCAGGGCGGGCGAATCATGAGGCCAGGAGATTAAGATCATCCTGGCTAACACGGTGAAACCCCGTTTCTACTAAAAATACAAAAAATTAGCTGGGCTTGGTGGCGGACACCTGTAGTCTCAGCTACTCAGGAGGCTGAGGCAGGAGAATGGCATGAACCCGGAAGAAGGAGCTTGCATTGAGCTGAGATCCCGCCGCTGCACTCCAGCCTGGGTGACAGAGGGAGACTCCGTCTCAAAAAAAAAAAAAAAGAAAAAAAATATTCTTTTTGGAAGCAAAGTAGCTCTTATTATAATTTGAGATATCTGGCCGGGCGCAGTGGTTCAAGCCTGTAATCCCAGCACTTTGGGAGGCCGAGACGGGCGGATCACGAGGTCAGGAGATCGAGACCATCCTGGCTAACACAGTGAAACCCCGTCTCTACTAAAAAATACAAAAAACTAGCCGGGCGAGGTGGCGGGCGCCTGTAGTCCCAGCTACTCGGGAGGCTGAGGCAGGAGAATGGCGTAAACCCGGGAGGCGGAGCTTGCAGTGAGCTGAGATCGTGCCACTGTCGAGCCTTGGCGACAGAGCAAGACTCCGTCTCAAAAAAAAAAAAAAAAAAAAAGAGATATCTATAAATAAATACACTATAGATATAAATGTATTTCTAGACGTCTCAAATTATAATAAGAATGTTTTTAGGTAGATGCCCTCCGAAAATTTTTAATTGTGTAAAATAACTCACCTTTAGAAATCTTTTTTAGTTGCCTGCCTTAAAAAAAGGTCATCTTACTTTCATTAACATTAGTTGTGTCGGGCTGAGTGTGGTGGCCTGTAATCCCAGCCCTCTGGGAGACTGAGACAGGAGGATCCCTTGAGTCCAGGAGTTCAAGACTAGCCTCGGCAACACCTTGAGACCCAGTCTCTACAAAAAATACTAAAAAAACAATTAGTTGGGCATGGTGGTATGTACTTGTAGTCTCAGCTACTGTGGAGGCTGAGGTGAGAGGACTGCTTGAACCCAGAAGGTTGAGGCTGCAGTAAGCTATACTTGTGCCACTGCACTTCAGCCTGGGCAATACAGTGAGACCCTGTCTCAAAAAAACAGCCCCAAATACCAAAACAAAACGTTAGTTGTATTGTTATATATTTATGGTATACTAGCTTTTGGGGAGTTGTTAGTTACATGATGTTAATTTCTTAATATTAAAATTCAACATTTTTGGTATTTATTAGCTTGTAAATCTGTTTTCCTTTTTTAAAAAGTCAATCAAATTTAGCAGTGGGAGATTGTATACCATCAATGTTAGTGACACTAGTGTTCAATTCTGATAACCCACTACTATCAGACCAGCCTGTTTTCTATAATCTTAATTGTGTTCCGTGTAGATTCTTCTCATCATTTTGTAGAGACATTTAACATAAAACCACAGGACTTGCACAAATGCATTGCCAGATGCCATTTCGCACGTAGCAGATTTTTACAAATTTTGCAAAGAGAAGATTGTGTTACCCAAAAATATCAGGAAAATGCGCAGTAAGTAGTACCTTGATAGAAAATAATTTCTTTCTTTTGAACAGATGTCACCAATATAATGTCAGCAGAAATAATCCATGCCTACCTCAAAACCCTGGTGATTATTTTTCCATTTTAAAGTCAGATAACTTTTTTTTTTTTTTTTTTTTCCCTATCTGAGACAGGGTCTGGTTCTGTCACCTAGGCTCTTAAGCTGGAATTCAGTGGTGTGATGTTGGCTCACCGCAGCCTCTGCTTCCCAGGCTTAAGTCATCCTCCCACCTCAGCCTCCAGAGTACCTGGGATTGTAGGCGCAGGCCACCATTCCCAGCTAATTTTTGTGTTTTTAATAGTAACGGGGTTTCACCATGTTGCCCAGGCTGATCTCGAACTTCTGAGCTCATGCAGTCTGCCTGTCTCAGCCTCCCAAAGTGTCAGGATTACAGGCATGAGCCACTGTGGCTATAGTCAGATAACTTCTGCATAAAATATTTTAAAACTTTAGGCATACTATAAATGTAAGTTTAGAGAAAAAGAAAAGATCACTGTATTTATTGATTTATTTATTTATTTTGGGATGGAGTCTCGCTCTGTTGCCCAGGCTTGAGTGCAGTAGTGGAATCCTGGCTCACTGCAACCTCCACCTCCTGGGTTCAAATGATTCTCCTGCCTCAGGCTCCTGAGTAGCTGAGATTACAGGCGCCTACCACCACGCCTGGCTCATTTTCTTTTTTGTATTTATAGTAGTGATGGGGTTTTGCCATGTTGACCGTGCTGGTCTTGAACTCCTGACCTCAAGTGGTCCACCTGCCTTGGCCTCCCAAAGTGCTGGGATTGCAGGTGTGAGCCACTGTGCCCATCCCACTTTAGTTTAAAAAGTTCAGTTTTCTTTTCTTTTCTTTTTTTTTTTTTTTTGAGACGGGGTCTCGCTCTGTCGCTCAGGCTGGAGTGCAGTGGCTGGATCACAGCTCACTGCAAGCTCCGCCTCCCGGGTTTACGCCATTCTCCTGCCTCAGCCTCCCGAGTAGCTGGGACTACAGGCGCCCGCCACCTCGCCCGGCTAGTTTCTTGTATTTTTTAGTAGAGACGGGGTTTCACCATGTTAGCCAGGATGGTCTCGATCTCCTGACCTCGTGATCCGTCCATCTTGGCCCCCCAAAGTGCTGGGATTACAGGCTTGAGCCACCGCGCCCGGCCGAAAAAGTTCACTTTTCTTATGTGCTTTGTAAATATGGAAATATATTTTAAAGTTGTAATTGCAGTGTTTATTTTATTTCATATCCTTTTTTGTCTTGATATTTCATTCTGTAAATTTTTCCATATTGCCATAGTGTATTACCATGTTTTTTTTTTTTTTTTTGAGATGGAGTCTCGCTCTGTTGCCCAGGCTGGAGTACAGTGTCACAATCTTGGCTCACTCCAACCTCCCCCTCCCGGGTTCAAGCAATTTTCCTGCCTCAACCTCCCAAGTAGCTGGGATTACAGGCGCATGCCACCATGCCTAGCTAATTTTTGTAGTTTTTAGTAGAGAAGGGGTTTTGCCATGTTGGCCAGGCTGGTCTGGAACTCCTGACCTCAGGTGATCCACCCACCTCAGCCTCCCAAAGTGCTGGGATTATAGGTGTGAGACACTGCACCATGCCAGTATATTACTTTTAATGTCCATTAGTCCGATTAGTGGGTATTTCGTTAAGTAGATATTCTTTCAGGTAGGTAGTCATCATTTTTTAAAACCACTTAATGCTATTTTATATTTAGGTTCAGGGGCTCAAGTGATCTTCCTGCCATGGCTGGGAGTACAGGCGTGTGCTACCACACCCAGCTAATTTTAAAATTTTTTTGTAGAGACAGGGCCTTGCTTTGTAGCCAGGCTGGTCTCAAACTCCTGGCCTGAAGCCACTTTCCTGCCTCAGCCTCCCAAAATATAGGCATTACAGGTGTGAGCCACCACACCTGGCATAATTTCTTTTTTGCAACTGTAGACAATTACAGTAGGATAACTTTGTAGAATGCTTTGTTGTATTTTACTAAAGCTATAGAATCCTTTGAAATTAACTGAAATGTTGCCTGACTGTATTAGATAACATTTAAATTTATCCCCTGGGTATGTGAGATAAGGATAAGAGCAGAGTCGTCTTACTAACCTCCATCATTCTAATCAGAGAGGGTATACTAACCTACGAGTCCTAGGTCCATCTCAGTAGGAGCCTGTATGTTGAATCACTTGTGTGATAAAGAGAGTTTAGAGTCCTTTAGCTTGCTGGTGGCTGTACCCAGAGGCCTTGATCAAGGATATGCAAAGGGAAAATAGAGAAGTGGGCTATACTAATTAATTGTAATGGTATTATAGTTGTCATTTTGTATGTTTTCTTGCAGATTATCAGTTAAGCAGGTACGAAACTTGAGATCTGAATGTGTAGGACTGGAAAACCAAATAAAGAAGTAAGTGACTTTTAGAGCTAGAAGTTGCCTTAGAGACTAGTTTAGCATTTGCATTTTACAGGTGAGAAAACAGATTCCCACAAACATTAATTAAAATAATATATCAATAGCCAGATGATGATAGGATTAGAGCATAGTTATGACTGCTAGTCCAGTTCTTCTAATAAATTATTATCGCTTTCAGATTAAATTTTATTTTTTGTTGGGGTGGTTGTTGGTGGGTGGGTTTGCACTGATTAGCTCTTTGGATATTAAATTGCCATGTGATTTTTCATGTGACTAACTAGGTTATTTAATTTTTATTAGAATGGAACCCTATGATGACCACAGTAATATAGAAGAAAAAATTCAAAAGGTGAGACAACTTATAAAAGGAGAAATTTAATCTTTTAAAATTCTGTGATATGCAGTGTTTGCTCAGTTGGTGGGACTCTTATAGTCTATTTAGCACAATTTTTTTTTTTTTTTTTTTTTTTTTGGAGATGGAGTCTCGCTCTGTTGCCCGGGCTGGAGTACAACAGATTTTGGCTCACTACAACCTCCGACTCCTGAGTTCAAGTGATATTCTTGCCGCAGCCTCCTGAGTAGCTGAGATTACAAGCATGCGCTACCACGCCTAGCTAATTTTGTATTTTTAGTAGAGACAGAGTTTCACCATGTTGGCCAGGCTGGTCTTGAACTCCTGAGCTCAGATGATCTGCACGCCTTGACCTCCCAAAGTGCTGGGATTACAGGCATGAGCCACCACGCCCAGCCTCCCTTCCCCTCCCCCTTCCCCTCCCCTTTCTGAAATGGAGTCTCACTCTCCCAGGCTGGAGTGCAGTGGCATGGTCTCGGGCTCACTGCAACCTCCGCCTCTTGGGTTCAAGCGATTCTCCTACCTTAGCCTCCCTAGTGGGTGAGATTACAGGTGCATGCCAATATGTGCAGCTAATTGTTATATTTTTGTAGAGACAGGATTTCACCATGGTGGCCAAGCTGGTCTTAAATTCCTGACCTCAGGTGATCCGCCTGCCTCGGTCTCCCAAAGTGTTGGGATTACAGACGTGAGCCACTGCGCCCGGTCCCATTTCTTTTTATAGTACTATTACTTTTTTCTTTTTTTAAACTCATAGGTCGTATGTATAAAGATATTAATGGAGTGCCTTTAAAACACTTGAATATAATGGAAAAATGAACTTATAATTCATAAGCTTAATTATATTCAAAAGGGTTTTTAGATATGATTAATTAAAAATTCTCCACCCCAGTACAAAAAGCTCTGCTTGATTGTAGTATAACCTTGTCAGTTACAAGGTTATACTTGTCAGTGGTATTAATTTATCTAAGTAAAATGGGTTAACTGCAGGGAGATGTTAAGTATGAAAGGAAAATGAGGAATTAAAATGAGGCTGGTTTGGCAGGAGGGAGGATTCTGACAAATGAAAATGATCTGAGACCTCCAGAGTTTGACTTTGATGTGAGTTAAGTATTTTCTTAGGTTTTCTTTTTTTTTTTTGGATAAAATTTCTCTCAAGCTCTTTATTGTGATTCTGTGATTGCCACGCCAAGCTGCTGTGGGTATAAATTTGGCTTCCAAGGCACATTGTCACTTGTAAAGGTGAGCGCCCTCTTAAGGAAATATTTTTATTCAGTGAATGCTTATTGATATCTGATATGTGCTAGGTATCTTGTAGATATTAGGGCCAAAACAATGAGGAGAACAGGCAAGGCAAAGTCACTTCCTTCATGGTATTTTCCATTTAGTGAATCTCTTATTGCAAATTATATAATTAAAATAATTTGCAGAACCTATTAAAGTTTTCACAGCAGTCTCTTCTGAGTTTGGTTCATATTTGTTTTCTCTGAGTACAGTCAACTTTGAGCCCTTGACAAGATAAAAATCTAGACTTGGAAAATCTGAGAACCAGATCCTAGATAATTACAGATTCATCAAGGAAATGCCATCCTGTGAGACCTCTAGACTGCTAGCCAATGAGTGTTCCTTTGGGAACAGCTTTACCTTGCCATGCAACATGTCAGAGATACTTAGGGTGGCACACACCTATAGTTTCACCTACTCAGGAGGCTGAGGCAGGAGGATTGTTTGAGCCCGGGAGCTCAAGGCTGCAGTGTGCTCTTGTTGTGTCAATGGACTCCAGCTTGGGCAACAGAGCGAGACCCATCTTAAAAAAAAAAAAAAAAGAGGTGGGGGCACAGTGGCTCACACCTGCGAGCACTTTGGGAGGCCAAGATGGACAACGGATCACTTGAGGCCAGGAGTTCAAGGCCAGCCTGGCCAACATGGTGAAACCCTGTCTCTACCAAAAATAAAAAAAGTAGCCTGGTATGGTGGTATTCTCCTGTAGTCCCAGCTACTTGGGTGGCTGAGGCACGAGAATCACTTGAACCTGGGAGGCAAAGGTTGCAGTGAGCCAAGATTGTGCCACTGCACTCCAGCCTGGGTGACAGAATGAGACCCTGTTTCAAAAAAAAAAAAAGAAAAAAGGAAAAAAAAAGTGAACTAATTAGAGATATTTAATACTGTATTTTTATCATACAGGAAGAACATGTGTATAATTATATTTCTCCACCTCCCTCCCTCTTTTGTAAATTCTGTTAAAGCATAACATATATACAAGAAATGTGTAACTCATAAGTATATAGCTTGACAAATTTTCACAAAGTGAACATGTCCATGTAACCAATATCGTTTAAGGAATAGAATGTTACCAGCACCCTAGAATCCTCCTTGAACCTGTTTAGTTTACACTGTTTCCCCCCATGGGGAAACAGTGCCCTCACGTGTTACACTAAAGATTAGTTTTGCCTGTTTTTGAGCTTCATATAAATGTGAGTATATAGAATATATTCTTTTGTGTCTGACTTTGGCTCAACATTGTTTATGGTATTTATCCATGCTATTGTGTGTAATCATAGTGTGTTTATTCTCATTGCTGCTTAGTGTTCTATTTTATGGACATAGCACCAGTGTACCCTTTTTACTGTAGATGGACCTTTGGATTGTTTCTACTTTTTGATTATTACAAACAGACATTCTATGAGTATTCTTTTTTTTTTTTTTTGCAAGGATCCTGGGCTTAAGGGATCCTCTTACCTCAGTCTTCTGGGTAACTGGGATTACAGGTATGCGCCACTGTGCCTGCCTAAATATTCTTGTATATCAATTTTAATGAATATAGATTAGTATATGCCTAAGATTTTTTGTTTTTAATGAGGCATAATTTCCCACACTTTAACTTCCTCAAACTGAATGACTTAAAATTGAGATGTAGTAGTTTTTTTCTCTTGAAAAATTTTTTTATTTTTTTTACTGAGATGGAGTTTTACTCTGTCCCCCAGGCTGGAGTACAGTGGCGCGATCTCTGCTCACTGCACCCTCAGCCTCCCAGGTTCACGCCATTCTCCTGCCTCAGCCTCCCGAGTAGCTGGGACTACAGGCTCCCACCACCACGCCCGGCTAATTTTTTGTATTTTTAGTAGAGACGGGGTTTCACTGTGTTAGCCAGGATGGTCTCGATCTCCTGACCTTGTGATCTGCCCACTTCGGCCTCCCAAAGTGCTGGGATTACAGGTGTGAGCCACCGCGCCTGGCTTCTCTTGAGAAATTTTAAAAATTATTTCTCCCCAAATGATCTTTGGTAGATTGATTACATGTCAGCATATAGAAAAGGCTAACTGTATCTTGCATAAGATTTCTTAGATTTGGAGCTGGGTGCAGTGGTGCATGCCTTTAGTCCCAGCTACTTGGGAGGCTGATGTGGGAAGATTGCTTGAGCCCAGGAATTTGAGTCTGGTCTGGGCAACATAGTAAGACCCCATCTCTAAAAACAAAAAAATTCTTAGATTTGTTTGAAAATTATAGTGAGCTAGATTCTCCTGATACATTTTTCAAAAATTTCCTTTGGAAATAAAATCCAAAGGGAGTTTTAAACTATGAAAGTATAATTATTTAATTTTCTTACTAGAAATCATTCTAGGAAATTTGTTACTAAGAGTGAACATATATTTACATTTAAAAAATATATATATGGATTATGTGCGAACTTTAATATTTTCTTTTTGTTTCCAAAGGTTCGGTCTTTGTGGGCTTCAGTGAATGAAACGCTCATGTTTTTGGAAAAAGAGAGAGAAGTTGTTAGTTCGGTCCTTAGTCTTGTTAACCAATATTATGCTTTAGATGGAACTGATGTTGCTATTAATATTCCAAGGCTCTTACTTGACAAGATTGAGAAACAAATGTTTCAGGTAAGCATTTGATATTAAGGAAGCTTTTGAGAAAACTCTTGTGATGTAATTGTATATTTTCTTGCAGTGTTCTTCTGCTTTCAGAATTTCTTTCTTTTTTTTGAGGCAGAGTTTTGCTCTTATTGCCTAGGCTGGAGGGCAGTGGCATGGTCTTGGCTCACTGTAATCTCCGCCTCCTGGGTTCAAGTGATTGTCCTGCCTCAGCCTCCCAAGTAGCCGGGATTACAGGCATGTGCCACCACGCCCAGCTAATTTTGTATTTTTAGTCGGTGGGGTTTCTCCATGTTGGTCAGGCTGGTCTTGAACTCCAGACCTCAGGTGATCCACCCCCCTCGGCCTCCCAAGGTGCTGGGATTACAGGCGTGAGCCACTGCATCTGGCCTTTCTCTTTTCTTTCAGATAAACTTTAATGATAAAAAACATAAGTATTTTTATGTAATAGTTTATTATTATAATAACCTATAGTTCACCAATTTTTTTCTCCTCCTGATTCCTTAGTTGCACATAGGAAATGTTTATGAGGCTGGAAAACTGAACCTCTTAACAGTTATTCAGTTATTAAATGAAGTCTTGAAAGTGATGAAATATGAACGTTGTCAGGCTGATGAGGCAAGATTGACGGTAGACCTTCACTACCTTGAAAAAGAGACCAAATTTCAGAAGGAAAGATTATCAGATCTGAAGCATATGAGGTACTCTAAAAAGATCTGTTATTTTACTGTGGGAGGAGTAGGGTGGTTTTCTTAACAAAACTCGTATAACTTTAATAGCTCTTCAGCTTTGGCAAACAAGTATGAGAATTCTAGTACTCAAAAACCTTACATAATCAACTCTTGGAGATACATGTGAAGCAGAAAGGAAAAGGAAAATTAGTGGGATGAATGATTTGCCCTGAATGATAATTTTTTTATGAAATAATTTTAGCTTTTCTGTAGTTTTCCTTTTGTTGGGTCTAATTATAAAACTGGGCCTTAGAAAAGGTTTTTTTTTTTGAGATGGAGTTTCGCCCTTGTTGCCCAGGCTAGAGTGCAATGGTGCGATCTTGGCTCACTGCAACCCCTGCCTCCTGGGTTCAAGTGATTCTCCTGACTTAGCCTCTCGAGTAGCTAGGATTATAGGCATGTGCCGCCACACCTTACTAATTTTGTATTTTTAGTAGAGATGGGTTTTCTCCATGTTGGTCAGGCTGGTATCGAACTCCTGACCTCAGGTGATCCACCCGCCTCGGCCTTCCAAAGTTCTGGGACTATAGGTGTAAGCCACCAAGCTCGGCCTCTTTTTTTGAGACAGAGTCTTGCTCTGTTGCCCAGGCTGGAGTGCAATGGCATGATCTCCCCTGACTGCAACCTCCATCTCCCGGGTTCACATGATTCTCCTGCCTCAGCCTCCCGAGTAGCTGAGAATACAGGCATGTGCCATCACGCCTGGCTAATTTTTGTATTTGTAGTAGGGATGGGGTTTCACCATGTTGGCCAGGCTGGTCTCGAACTCCTGACCTTAGGTAATCGGCCTGCCTCAGCTACTTGAACAGTTTTTTAATTGAGCAGAAAGAATAGAAAGTAAGGTATGCTTATAGGAATGGACAGAGAGTGGGAGTGAAAGTCCTACTCAAGTTTAGAGCAAGGAAGAAATTCTATTTTAAAAATAAATGGAGTAGCTGGGTGTGGTGGCTCACACTTGTAATCCCAGCACTTTGGGAGGCTTGAGGTAGGTGGATCACCTCAGGTCAGAAGTTCAAGACCATTCTGGCCAACATAGGGAAACCTTGTCTCTACCAAAAAGACAAAAATTAGCCAGGCATTTGCCTGTAATCCAGCTACTTAGGAGGCTGAGACAGGAGAATCACTTGAACCTGAGAGGAGGAGGTTGCAGTGAGCTGACATTGCGCCACTGCACTCCAGCCTGTGTGAGAGAGTGAGACTCCATCTCAAAAAAAAAAAAAAAAAGAATAAATAAAATAGAGTAATAGATATATTATTGCTTTTTTTTTTTTTTTTTTCTTTTGAGACGGCATTTCCCTCTTTTTGCCTAGGCTAGAGCGCAATAGCACGATTTCGGCTTACTGCAACCTCTGCCTCCTAATTTCAAGTGATTCTCCTGCTTCAGCTTGCTGAGTAGCTGGGATTACAGGGGCGCGCCTCCGCGTCCGGCCAATTTTGTATTATTATTATTATTATTATTATTATTATTATTGTTTTTCAGTAGAGATAGGGTTTCACCATGTTAGTCAGGCTGGTCTCAAACTCCTGACCTCACGTGATCCACCCGCCTCGGCCTCCCAGAGTCTGGGATTACAGGTGTGAGGCACCGTACGCGGCCTCTTTCTGATTTTTTTTTTTTTTAACTTTTTTTAAAACTATTTATTTATTTTTTTATTTATATATATTTTTTGAGACAGAGTTTTACTCTTGTCTCCCAGGCTGGAGTGCATGGAGTGCAATGGCATGATCTTGGCTCACTGCAACCTCTGCCTCCTGGGTTCAAGTGATTCTCCTGCCTCAGCCTCCTTAGCAGCTGGAATTACAGGCACCCACTCCTACGCGTGGCTGATTTTTTTTTTTTTTTTTTTGAGCATCTCCTTCCCCCCCCCCCCCCCCCCCCCCCCCCCCCCCCCCCCCTCCCCCCCCCCCCCTATTTTTTTTTTTTTTGATTTCTTTTGGATGTTTTCCGACCTGATCCCCCCCTCCGCTCCGACCCCCCCCGTTTTTTTTTTTTTTTTTTTTTTTTTTTGAGACGGAGTCTCGCTCTGTCGCCCAGGCTGGAGTGCAGTGGCGTGATCTCGGCTCACTGCAAGCTCCGCCTCCCGGGTTCACGCCATTCTCCTGCCTCAGCCTCCCAAGTAGCTGGGACTACAGGCACCCGCCACCACACCCTGCTAGTTTTTTGTATTTTTATAGAGACAGGGTTTCACCATGCTAGCCAGGATGGTCTCGATCTCCTGACCTCGTGATCCACCTGCCTCGGCCTCCCAAAGTGCTGGGATTACAGGCGTGAGCCACCGCGCCCAGCCTGTGTGGCTGATTTTTGTATTTTTCGTAGAGACGAGGTTTCACCACATTGGCCGGGCTGATCTTGAACTCCTGGCCTCAGGTGATCCGCCCGCCTTGGCCTCCCACAGTGCTGGGATTACAGGCATGAGACACTGCTCCCTGCCTTCTTTATGGTCATAAAAAGAGAAAGGTATTTTAGGTTCTGAATATTCACCTGTGAGAAGTTAATTTTTATGTGGTATATTGATTGAACTTTCAGTTCCATTTCCTTCCACTTCTCTACAACTATTGTTATTTTCTTAAATTTGACTCAGTGCTTTTTTTGTATCTTCATATGTTGAATAAAGTTTTTTTATGCTGTTATAGGTATAGGATAAAAGATGATCTCACAACTATAAGACAATCTGTTGTTGAAAAGCAAGGAGAATGGCATAAAAAGTGGAAAGAATTTCTTGGTTTGTCTCCTTTCAGTCTAATTAAAGGTTGGACTCCAGTAAGTAATGTTGACTTGCCCCTGTTCTCCCCGCCCCACTTTTTTTTTTTTTGAGACAGTGTCTTGCTCTGTTGCCCAGGCTGGAGTAGAGTGGCATGATCATAGCTGGCTGGACTACAGTGGCACAATCATAGCTGGCTGGAGTACAGTGGCACGATCATAGCTGGCTGGAGTACAGTGGCACGATCATAGCTGGCTAGAGTACAGTGGCATGATCATAGCTTGTTGTAACCTTGAACTTCCGGGTTCAAGCAATCGTCCCACCTCAGCCTTCTGAGTAGCTGGGACTACAGGTGTGCACCACCAAGCCTGGCTAAGTTTTTCTTTAATTTTATAGATAGGGTCTCCCTGCATTGCCAAGGCTGGTCTCAAACTCCTAGACTCAAGTGATCTTCCTGCCTCGGCCTCCCCAAAGTACTGGGATTACAGGTGTGAGCCACTGCACTCAGCCAATTTGCCCTTTGGAGAATAGTTTAATAAATGGCAATTTGTGAATTTATTGTGTTATGAATGACCTAGAAATGTTGTATGTATGTCATCTTTGCATTTGAGTCTAAAGTTTCTATGTTATGGTTTCTGTAATTTTTCTAAATATATATATAATATAATATCCATAAGTTGCTGTTGTCATTTACAGTTAATATTTTTAGATTTGAAGGATTGTATTAAAAGGAAAACAATTATTATTATTATTATTTTTTGAGACGGAGTCTTGCTCTGTTGCCGAGGCTGGAGTGCAGTGGCACGATCTCAGCTCACTGCAACCTCTGCCTCCCAGGTTCAAGTGGTTCTGCTGCCTCAGCCTCCCGAGTAGCTGGGGCTAAAGGTGCCTGCCACCATGCTCGGCTAATTTTTTTATTTTCAGTAGAGATGGGGTTTCACCATGTTGGTCAGGCTGGTCTTGAATACCTGACTTCAGGTGATCCACCCACCTCTGCCTCCTAAAGTGCTGGGATTACAGGCGTGAGCCACTGTGCCCAGCCAGAAAGCAAGACTCCTCTTGATGTGAAGTACTGTGATGTTTGAGAAATTCAAGAACTAAGTAATCCCCCTTGCTCCTAATGTTGTACTTTGCTTTAAAAATAGTTATAGGGCTGGGCATGGTGGCTCACACATGTCATCCCATTGTTTTGGGAGGCTGAGGCAGGAGGATCATTTGAGGCCGGGAATTGGAGACCAGCCTGGACAACATAGTGAGACCCCTTCTCTACTAAGAAAAACCCCCAAAACTGGGTGTTGTGGTATGTCCTTGTAGGCTTAGCTACTCAAGAGGCTGAGGTGGGAGGACTGCTTAAGCCCAGGAGTTTGAGGCTGCAGTGAGCTATGATAATGTCATTGCACTTTAGCTTGGACGAGGGAGTGAGACCCTGTCTTTAAGAAAAATAAACAAATAAAAATAGTTATCTGATACATGCTTGGTAATTCTGTCTTTCTTAGGGAGAAAATAATCTATTCATAGATTAACTCAGCATTGTTATTGTAGTAGTTAGCAAATATGTTTACTTCAAAATTGTGAATTTTCTGTTTTAAGTCTGTAGATCTTTTACCACCAATGTCTCCCCTTTCATTTGATCCTGCCTCAGAAGAAGTATATGCAAAGAGTATTCTTTGTCAGTATCCTGCTTCACTTCCAGGTTGGTTATTTATTTGTTTTTCTCTTTGAAACCTCCTTTCTGTCATTCTTTTTCATTATTATAATAGTTCTTTATATTTCTTGTCTTTTTCCTCCATTTTTTTTTATTGTGGTGAAATGCATGTAACCTAAGATTCACAGTTTCAGTTATTGCAAAGTATACAGCTCAGTGGCATTTAGTACATTTACAGTGTTGTGCAGTCATCATCACTATCTAGTTTCTGAACTTTATCTTTGATTTTTTTTGAGACAGGGTCTCACTCTGTTGCCCAAGCTGGAGTGCAGTGGCACAATCTCAGCTCACTGTAGCCTTGACTACCTCAGGCTCAAGTGATCCTCCCACCTCAGCCTCTCACATAGCTGGGACTGGAGGTGTGCGCCACCACACCTGGCTAATTTTTGTAATTTTTTTTTGTAGAAATGGGATTTCACTGTATTGCCCAGGCTGGTCTTGAACTCCTGGGCTCAAATGATTGACCTGTCTCGGCCTCCCAAAGTGCTGGGATTACAGGTGTGAGCCACTGAGCCCCAGCAGCCAGAATATTTTCATCATCTCAAAAAAACCCTCTAACCCATTAACCAGTCACTTCCATTTTCCCCGCTAGTCCCTGGCAGCCAGTAATGTACTTGTTTTTTTTTTTTTTTCCTGAGATGGAGTCTTGCTCTGTTGCCCAGGCTGGAATGCAGTGGTGCAATCTCAGCTCACTGCAACCTCCATCTTGGGTTCAAGCAATTAATGCTCTTGCCTCAGCATCCTGAGTAGCTGGTATCACAGGTATGTGCCACCACACCTGGCTAATTTTTTTTTTTTTTATTTTTGGTAGAGACGGGGTTTTACCATGTTGGTCGGGCTGGTCTTGAGCTCTTGACCTAAAATGATCTGCCCGTCTTGGCCTCCCAAAGTGCTGAGATTATAGGTGTGAACCACTGCGCCCAGCCCATTAATGTACTTCTTATGTCTATGGATTTGCCTGTTCTGGATATTTCATATAAATGAAATCATATAATATGAGGCCTTTTGTTTCTGGCTTCTTTCACTTGCATTGTTTTTAACTTTGCACAATGTTTTCTTGAACTGATTCCAAGCAATTCTCCTTCCTTGGCCTCCCGAAATGCTGGGATTATAGGTGTGAGGCACCACATGTACAGTATTTTCAAGTTTTTTACATCTTGTAGCATGTATCAGCCTTCAATTTTTAAAAATCAGATTCGTTGAGTTATAATTCATATATCATACAGTTCACTCATTGAAAATGTATGATTTCTTGGTTTTTGCTAAATTCACAAATATGTGTAACCATCATCACAATTGTAAACATTTTCATCACCTGAAAAAGAAACCTCATACCCTTTAGCTATTAACCTCCAATCCCCCTTCACTTCTCCAGTTCAAAGCAATTACGAAGATATTTTCTGTCTCCAGATTTCCCTGTTCTGGATTTTCATATGGATGGAATCATATCATATATAGACTTTTGTGACTGGCTTCTTTCACTTAGCATAGCGTTTTCAAAGTTCATCTAAGTTGTAGCATGTATCAGTCAGTATTGCATTCCTTTTTTATGAATATATGCCATTGTATGCCTCTACCACATTTTGTTTATCCATTCGTCTGTTGATGGACATTTGGGTTGTTTTCACCTTTTGGCTATTATGAGTAATGCTTCTATAAACATTCTGTACAGGTTTTTTGTGGAAGCTCACAATTTTTTTTTAACATGAAAGAATAGTACAATAATTAACCTGTGTTAATTAGCACATGTGTACAAGACAATTAGGTTCAGTAAATAGAGGATAGATAAGGAATGAATGAATAAAAAACAAATTATACAGCCAAATTGGAGCAGGTAATAGTTGTAGGCTGTAGTTCACTCAGGCGAAAGGTCATGACAGCAGTTAGCACAGGACTCAATCACTGGGATAGGTAAATGGTTTGAGAGTCAGGTGTATTTGGGGAGGACACTGGTTGGGAAAGATTATAGACCAGAGAGCAAGGCTCAGTTTAGGTGCAACCATGAGAGAAGACATAGAAAAGTCTGCATGGGGCTGTGCATAGTGGCTCACACCTATAATCCCAGCACTTTGGGAAGCTGAGGGTGGAAGATTGCTTAAGCCCAGGAGTTCGAGACCAGCCTGGACAACATAGTGAGACCCAGTCTCTACAAAAAATGAAAAATTAGCCAGGCATGGTGGTATGTGTCTGTAGTCCTAGCTATTTAGGAGACTGAGGTAGGAGGATCATTTGAGCCCAGAAGTTCAAGGCACAATGAGCTATTACTGCTCCACTGCACAATGCTCTAGCCTGGACAACAGAGTAAGACCCTCTCTCTCTCTTTCTCTTTTTCTTAAGTTTTTTTGTTTTTTTTGAGACAGAATCTCACGCTGTCGTCCAGGTTGGAGTGCCGTGGTGTGATCTCGGCTCACTGCAACCTTCGCCTCCCGGGTTCAAGCAATTCTCCTGCCTCAGCCTCCCCAGTAGCTGGGATTACAGGCACACGCCGCCACGCCCAGCTAATTTTTTGTATTTTAGTAGAGATCAGGTTTCACCGTTTTGCCCAGGCTGGTCTCAAACTCCTGAGCTCAGGCAATCTGCCTGCCTAGACTCCCAAAGTGCTGGGATTACAGGTGTGAGCCACCGCACCTGGCCCTTTTTCTTAAATTTTAAATTAAAATTTTTTTTAAAATTAAAAATTAGTGTTATCCATTCTCAGGGGCCATGTTAATCTCTGTATTGTTCCAATTTTAATATATGTGCAGCTGAAGTGAGCATGAGACCCTGTCTCTTAAAAAAAATAAAAGGCTGCATGGTTTGATAAATGAAGAGGAGCTTCAGATAGAGCATTCTGGTTCCATGGTGGCTGTGGACAGTCCTTAATTATGGTAGAATTCTTTTGATAGCTCTTGGCTTCGTTTTTAACTCTTTTATTTTTATTTTTTATTTTTGAATTATTTCTCTCTCTCTCTTTTTTTTTTTTTCAAATCCACTAGTCAACAGAGCTCTTCGCATTGTGTTGTGTTTTCATTTCAGTTGGGAAAGGGCTTTTGCACTCTCACCAGGGTTAGTTTACCCCTTCGAATCTATGAAATTCTCATGTCCATTTGGAGGTTTCTCTACTTGCCTTTACACTGAGGGAAAATGTGTCCATTTAGGAAGTCCAGTTGGAAGTGGTACTCTGGGGAGTCCCCCCCTTTTTTTTCTCCTAGTATAGAACCTTGATCTGAGCTGGGCTACTTAAACATTATATTTTTTGTGGTAAAACAACCATTTCTGCCTTCCTGTACCTTTCATATTGCATCTTACTTAATTTACTTTAAAAATGTTTTTTAAAATTATATTTCAGCATATTGAAAAGTACAGAGAATAATATTATAAATACTTGTTTATTAAACACCTTTTTGGCAAAGGTTTGCAATATTCACTTTAGGTTTTTTAAAATGTACATATATAGTTAATCCTTAGATATCCACCTTTCTTCACCTTCCTTACTGATTTCACAGAGGTAATCACTATTCTGAATCTAATCTTTAGTCTGATGTATGTTTATAAAATAAATTTGTTACCTATGTATAGACCTATAAATAATATGTAATATTGTTCTTCCTCTTTTTTAAAGTTTATAAATGAAATTTAAAAAATTATCTTCCAAAAGGTTCTTTGTTAATGTTTGTACTTTTCGTTTTTTTTTTTGTTTTGTTTTTTGAGACGGAGTCTTGCTTTGTCGCCCAGGCTGGAGTGCAGTGGCACCATCTTGGCTCACTGCAAGCTCCGCCTCCTGGGTTCACATCATTCTCCTGCCTCAGCCTCCGAGTAGCTGGGACTACAGGCGCCCGCCATCTCGCCTGGCTAATTTTTTGTATTTTTAGTAGAGACGGGTTTTCACCGTGTTAGCCAGGATGGTCTCGATTTCCTGACCTCGTGATCCACCCGCCTCGGCCTCCCAAAGTGTTGGGATTACAGGCGTGAGCCACCGCGCCCGGCTAATGTTTGTACTTTTCAAAACAGGATCCAGAGAGGGTTAGTTCATTACATGTGATTGTTTTATTCTTAGTAACTTTTATTCTAGAATAATGCCTGTCTTTTTTTAATGACATTGATAAAAATTGTTTTTAACAATTACTGTGTTTAAATTGAGCAACATGATTGGTGACATTTTTGGTCTATTCTTTTGTTCTCCTTTTGAGAAGTGTATGTCAAAGTATATGCTTAGTTCTTGAACTCTGAATAGTAAAATTCTCAGTCTTTTTGTGAAAATGTCTTCATTTTCACTAATTTTTGAATGATAGTTTAGTTGGATATAGAATTCTAGATTGATTGGCACTCTTTGAGACTTCGATGATATGATCTCATTGTTTTCTGTTGTTTTTGAGGCTTTTTGCTGTTGGTCTAATTGTCATTCATTTGTAGTTAGTTAATTTTTTTTTTTTTTTTGAGACAGTCTTTATTACCCAGGCTCAAGTGTAGTGGCATGATCTCAGCTCACTGCAACCTCTGCCTCCCAGGTTCAAGCAATTCTCCTGCCTAAGCTTCCCGTGTAGCTGGGATTCCTGGCATGTGCCATCACATCCAGCTAATTTTTGTATTTTTAGTAGAGACGGGGTTTCACCATGTTGAGCCACTGACCTCAAGTGATCTGCATGCCTTGGCCTCCCAAAGTGCTGAGATTATAGGCGTGAGTCATCGTACCTGGCCCATTTGTAGTTAGTTAATTTTTCTTTTCTTTTTTTTTTTTTTTTTGGAGAGGGAGTTTCACTGTTGTTGCCCAGGCTGGAGTGCAATGGCATGATCTCCACTCACTGCAACCTCTCCCTCCTGGGTTCAAGCTCTTCCCCTAGCTCAGGCTTCCAAGTAACTGGGATTACAGGCATGTGCCACCATGCCCAGCTGACTTTTGTATTTTTAGTAGAGACGGGGTTTCACCATGTTGGCCAGGCTGGTCTCGAACTCCTGACCTTAGGTGATCCTCCTGCCTTGGCCTCCCAAAGCGCTGGGATTACAGGCATGAGTCACTGGGCTCGGCCCATTTATAGTTAGTTAATTTTTGATTTCTGGTTGCTTTTAAGATTTTTCTTTGGCTGGGCGTGGTGGCTCACACCTGTAATCCCAGCACTTTGGGAGGCTGAGGCAGGAGGATTGCTTGAGCCTAGGAGACCAACCTGGGCAATATAGTGAGACACTGTCTCTACAGAAAAAACACAAAAAATCAGCTGGGCATGGTGTCACGCACCTGTGGCCCCAGTTACTTGGGAGGCTGAAGTGAGAGGATCACTTGAGCCCAGTTAATCGAGGCTGTAGTGAGTCATGATTGTGCTACTGCACACAGCCTGGGTGACAAAGCAAGAACTTGTCTCAAAAAAAAAAAAAAAAAAAAAGAGAAAAAAAGAAAATCTTCTTTTGTATTACGCAGGTTCATTAGGATATATCTAAATGTAGTTTTGTTTTATTTAGCCTATTTGGGATTTGTGTGTGCTTATTTATTCTGAAAGCTCGTATCTTCAGTTTTAGAAACTTATTCACCAATATCTCTTCTTTTTTTTTTTTTTTTTTTTTTTTTGAGACGGAGTCTCGCTCTGTCGCCCAGGCTGGAGTGCAGTGGCCAGATCTCAGCTCACTGCAAGCTCCGCCTCCCGGGTTCCCGCCATTCTCCTGCCTCAGCCTCCCGAGTAGCTGGGACCACAGGCGCCGCCACCTCGCCCGGCTAATTTTTTGTGTTTTTAGTAGAGACGGGGTTTCGCCGTGTTAGCCAGGATGGTCTCGATCTCCTGACCTTGTGATCCGCCCGTCTCGGCCTCCCAAAGTGCTGGGATTACAGGCTTGAGCCACCGCGCCCGGCCAATATCTCTTAAAATATTACTTTATGTCTTATTCTTTTGATCCTTTCCTTCTGAAACTCCTATTGTTGGGACTTCTGATTCTGTCTTTCGTATCTTTTAACTTCTCATTCATATTTACAACTTTTTTGTATCTCATGCCTTCATTCTAGGTATTTTCTTTAGATCGCTCCTATAACTCACTGATTATCTTTTAGTTATGTTTAATTTGCTTTTTGACCTGTCTGTCTAGTATTTAGTAGTCATAGATATATACTTTTTACCTCTCTAATCCTTACTTACTTCTTTTCTGTAACTGCCTGGTTTTCATGTTGTCATCTTCTTTCATTATGGATTCTGTTCCACTTTGGACACATACAACTGGGAAAAGCCTTTCAGAAGGTAACATGTTGAAAGAGGTCAAGCCCTTGGAATATCAGATCTTCTGTAATCCAGCCATGGCTTTCTTTATCAGTCTTATTTCCCACCATGCTTCCACTGGATGTATCCTGTGCTCCATCATAGTAGCTTGTACCTCGTTCCCTCAGTACCTTCATGCCTTCTTCCCACTCCGCAGTCTGGGCTGGATGTCTCTCCTCTGCCTCCTTAAACTCTGTATATACTTGTGTCATAATACTGTAGAAGTATAACAACACTTGACACATCACTATCCTTTCCTAGACTGACTCTTCGGAGGCAACCTCTCCATCTTTCATTTCTTTCTCCCATTGTTGGTATGGTAGTAGCATGTGGGTATGGTAGTAGCATGTAGTTATTCAGTCATAGGTTGAAGAATAATTATGTAGGTTGACTGATATCATAAATGTGCATTGAAATATGCTAAGACTGTAACTTTTTGGCCTTGCTGGCTTTTGTGATAATCTCATGATCTATGTATGTAAACATGAAGCATGTAACACTGGGGAATTATGGATTCTTACTCTTTGAGAAACTTGTTTTAGTATTAGTCATCATTTCTTTTATAAAAGCTAGATATTCTCTATTACTTTTCTGCTCATCACTTTACACTTATCAATTGAATAATTATCTTTTCCTATTAGTGTTCGTGTTTTGGTTTTTCTGTTTTCTTCTGTTTAGAAGTTGTTCTAGAATTTCAAGGGATCCTTGAATGTTAGAATGTACAAACCTAATTAAAGAGTAATCAATTTTTAATTTTCTTTAGATACACATAAGCAACATAACCAAGAAAATGTTTGCAGAGGAGACAGTAATACCTTGGGAGCTCTACATGATCTAGCCAACAGGTAAAACAAATTTGATTTTCTTTTGTTAAACATTTAAAAAAACTCTTATTTTATAAAAAATAGAGATGGGACTGAGAGATGAAGCCAGCTGGACTTCTGGGTTGGATGGGGACTTGGAGAACTTTTCTGTCTTACAAGAGGATTGTAAAAATGCACCAGTCACTGGATGTAGTAGCTCACTCCTGTAATCCTAGCACTTTGGGAGGCTGAGGTGGGAAGATCGCTTGAGCCCAGGAGTTCTAGACCAGTCCAGGCATAGCAAGACCTTGTCTGTTCTAAAAGGAAAAACAAAAGGTGTGGTCTTTCTGGGTTGCAGAGGCTAGTCTTTAACTCTTGGCCTCAAGTGATCCTCCTGCCTGGGCCTCCCAAAGTGCTGGGATTATGGTCATTACCCCCCATGCCTGACCCAAAATTGATTTTTATATTATTTTTTTCTATATTAATTTTGTTCCCATCTTAAAACAGTTTCCAATCTTACTTACTCTGGGATAGTGCATAATTTTGCCCCCCCACCCCCTTTTTTTTTTGAAACGGAGTCTTGCTCTCGTCTCCTAGGCTGGAGTGCAATGGCGCGATCTTGGCCCACTGCAACCTCCCTGCCTCCTGGGTTCAAACGGTTCTCCTCCTGGGTTCAAGCTACCTCCTGAGTAGCTGGATTACAGGTGCCTGCCAGCACGCCCAGCTAAGTTTTGTATTTTTAGTCGAGATGGGGTTTCACCATGTTGGCCAGGCTGGTCTCGAACTCCTGATCTCAGGTGATCTGCCTGCCTTGGCCTCCCAAGGTGCTGTGATTACAGATGTGAGCCACAGCGCCCGGCCAATTTTGCCCTTTTAACTGGACAATATTTTTCTACCATAGACCCACATTTTCAGAAAAGATCCAAAATTTATGATAATGGGTATTTTTTCCCCTTCTATTCTTTATCTAAATATTGGGTTTCATGGGGATTATTTGGAAATTATCTAACGCAAATTTGGGAGTTTTTGCCTTTTTATGTATGTGAACTTTTTTGAAACTACTCTAAGTTCAAGTGTTTGGGGGCCTTTGAGATCATCTTGTCCAGATAGTTTTCAGACTATATCCTATAGTGCCATTTGGTGCTGTGGATGAATGTAACGTAACCCGTGGCTGGTCCAACCTTTTCCTACGTTAGCCTGGGCAACTTGCTCTTTTATATATTTTATACATTGGGGTGTTTGGTAAACTATTTGGTAAGAAGAGTTCCATGCTTAAAAAAAAAATTGGAAAACTTCTGATTTACTGTAACTACCAGATTTAACATATGAAAAAACCGAATTTTGTTCTAACTTTCTTCAGTAATATTCCTATTTTCTTTATTGCCTTTTTTTTTTTTCTCTATTATCCCATTTTGGACTGATTACAGATTTTATGAGCAAAAAATCTGTGAACTAAATGTTTGTAATCCGATTGGGGAACATATTAGTTCTTTATTGAAATTAAGCATTATTAAGTAGCAATCAAACACGAAGAAACTTTCCTGTATTTGGGTTTTTTTGTTTTATTGTTTTTTTAACCTACATAGGTGTCTTTCATTACAACTTTCCCAAGTAGATGAGGGACAGATGAAAGTAAAATACTTAGGAAAATTATAAAAGAAAATCCTAAATTTTAAATGAATTGAAGCACTCATCATTCTATATGGTCTTAGTGAAAACTGTAACACTAACCAAAGTTAAGCCTTTTTTTGTGAAATTGAGTTATTGGTAATTGGTTCTGCAGTGATCTAGTTCATAGCAGTCAGGACTAGTTGTGGAAGAACTATGTTTTAGTCTGCCTGGATTTGATGTTAATTTTTTGAGTGCCTAAAGAAAAATAATGAAATCTTCCGTGAGGACCTGGTGTTGAAGAGATAGTAAAGTTACTGGCCTACCCATTGTACACTCATATCAGAATTCTTTTTATGGCAGGCTGGGGGAGGGTATGATTGGTGCTTCCTAAACTCAATTAAGTTTTTGATTTTGTCTTTCCTTGAGAGCAAATTAAATATTTTGATTAAGGTGTTTTGCTGGACTACAGATTGATGGGGATACTAGATTAATACAGATAGCAGATTTTATTCATGAACCCCATTAAACCTCAGAATACTTTTTTTTTTTTGGGCCGGGTGCGGTGGCTCATGCCTGTGATCCCAGCACTTTAGGAGGCTGAGGTGGGTGGCTCACCTGAGGTCAGGAGTTTGAGACCAGCCTGACCAACATGGTGAGACCCCATCTCTACTTAAAATACAAAAATTAGCTGGGTGTGGTGGTGCATGCCTAATCCCAGCTACTTACTTGGGAGGCTGAGACAGGAGAATTGCTTGAACCCGGGTGGCAGAGGTTGTGGTGAGCTGAGGTTGTACCATTGCACTCCAGCCTGGACAACAAGAGTGAAACTCCATCTGAAAAGAAAGAAAGAAAAAAAAAGATTCTTTTTTTGAAGAATTTTGTACCAAGATACTCTCAGAATTCTGTAGGAGCCAGAAACTCAATCCCTAATAATTTAGTTCAAATGGAAACTCTTAATATAGGAAAAATAACTTATATTAGATATACTTTGATTTCCATATCTGTCTTCTAAGCTCCTGGATCTTTTAGTTATATTCTGATTATTTTAATTATAGATTTGAGATATTGAAGGGAGGAAGGGGAAGGCTTAGTGGTGAGGGATAAATGGTTAATGGGATATGAAAGATTATTATTGCTAGATAGCGGGACAGAACAGAAGGACTGTGAAAAGCTAAGTTCCTGGGACATGGAAGTAGTCTGCTCAGAATTCTTCACTGTTAAAGGTATATGTAGTTAAATGTTCCATCAGTAATATGTAACGTAGATGGACTGTACTTAATGAAAGAAAAGAATACCTTTTTTGCATGTAGTTCAGCAATTACACTGTTTTATCTGCAATACATCATCTTTTATCAGTAACAATGTAGTTAACTGGGAAATTCATATGTGGATATGATCAATATAACCATTCAACTAAAAAAATGGAAAGAATGTAGTTTTTAGAGTGTTATTAGCCCTATCACATGCAGTTGTCATTCACGGATACCAAAAGATATGTAGTCTTTTCCATAAATCTCATTGCTGGCTTTTTTTTTGTTTGTTTTTTTGAGAAGGGTCTTGCTCTGCTACCCAGGCAGGAGTGCAGTGGTGCAATCACAGCTCACTGCAGCCTTGATCTCCTGGGCTCAAGTGATCCTTACATCTCAGCTAGCCAAGTAGCTAGGAGTGCAGGCATGCGCCTCCACACCCAGCTAATTAATTTTTTTTTTTTAGAGATGAAGTCTCACTATGTTGCCTAGGTTGGTCTCAAACTTCTGAGCTCAAGTGATCCTCCCACCCCAGCCTCCCAAAATGCTAGGATTTCAGATGTGAGCCACCTTGCCTGGCTTTCATTTCTGCTTCTGATCAGAGTGAGCTCATGGAGGCTGCATTATACTTAAAACCAGAATTCAGCAATTGGTGATGCCTTTGCTGTACACTGTGAGCATTAGCTTTCTTTGCAGTGGCTTTTTGTGTCTGTGTCTGTGTGTGTGTGTGGGTGGGTGGGTTCCATGATATTTCTAATGGTAATGATGCTGTTGTTCTAGACATCTAACTTCTATGTTTTCTCCTATACCACATTTCAAAGACAAGGAGGGCAGTATGATCTTGCATACATGCCAGCTAAACATCATTTGTGTTAGAAATTGAGTTCTAGTCTCATATCTTTCTCTTTTTATAGTTTCTATTTTTATTTTTCTCCTAATTATTGATATAACAACAACAGCAAATAAAAATGAGAAATAATTGGTTAAAGTTTTTAAGGAATCACTTGTAACATTTTTCCCCGCCAAGTACTTTTCTAGGCTTTGTATACCACCATATATAAATTTAGCTCTAGCTGGGAATGGTGGTTCATGCCTGTAATCCCAGCACTTTGGGATGCTGAGGCAGGCAGATCACCTGAGGTCAGGAGTTTGAGACCAGCCTGGCCAACAGGGTGAAACCCTGTCTCTACTAAAACTACAAAAATTAGCTGGGTGTGGTGGTCGGCACCTGTAATTCCAGCTACTCAGGAGGCTGGGGCAGGAGAAGTGCTTGAACCCAGGAGATGGAGGTTGCAGTGAGCCAGGATCCCGCCACTGTACTCCAGCGTGGGCGACAAAGTGAAAGTCTGTCTCAAAAAAAACCAAAAAGCTGTAATCGAAGGATGGATACAATCTGAATACAAATTTTAAAATGCAAAATTCTAAAGTACAAAATTTTATTTATTTATTTTTGAGACGGAGTTTTGCTCCTGTTGCCCAGGCTGGAGTGCAATGGCACGATCTCGGCTCACTGCAACTGCCACCTCCTGGGTTCAAGCGATTCTCTTGCTTCGGCCTCCCAAATAGCTGGGATGACAGGCACCCATGACCACACCTGGCTAATTTTTGTATTTTTAGTAGATACGGGGTTTCACCATGTTGGCGAGGCTGGTGGAACTCCTGACCTCAGGTGATCCACCTGCCTCAGCCTCCCAAAGTGCTGGGATTACAGGTGTGAGTCACCACGCCCAGCCCCAAATTTTAAAACATTAACATAGTATAAATGGTTGTGATTTTTTTGGCTGTATGTTTAAATAACATATTTACCAATTTTCATTGATAATAGCTTTGTAACACTGCATTTATTTTTAGATTTGAATTTTCTCTCAATTTTATTTTTTACTACTATAAAAAGTGTGTTCCTCTTTTTTCCTCTATGTTCTTCCCTTAGGATAAATTTCCACAATGGGATCACCGTCTTTTCTTTGTTTTGTTACAGTGTTAGGATTTCATGGGCCTCAATCTTGGCATGGCAAATGGATGAAGTATACAGACTGAGCCAGGGCTGCTTTAAAGTTGTCTTAGATTACGATGTTAGCAGGCTTAATAGCATGTTGCCAGTTCAGAAATGAGAGAGGGGAGGGTACAGAATGTTTCCATTGTTCTCTGCCATAAGAATCATTCAAATGGAAACACTTGTCACCTGTAGAACCCCATTCTCAAGTGGCATTTACTCATCGATTCCATCAGTTCATCAAACAGTTAACATGTATGTGTTGTACTACCAACCACTGTGTTAGTCTCTGGGAATAGCCTTAGGGAAGGACATAGCCTTTGTCCTTACCTTCTTGTGGTGGTGGCACCTTAGTGGCATTGGGCCATAGATTGCTGGCTCTGTTTCAGGGGGCTTTGTGATAATTTTAATGTAAGACCCCAAAATCTAGTAGATGATCAATCCTTTGCCTTTGATATCTGGGTTATATTTTGTCAATGCTATGTTGAAGCTTGAGTGATTGCAGTGATTTTGAATTATGTTTGGAACGTAGACAAAGACTCTTAAGAGTGCATATTTGAAAAAGTTTGAAAATTACATTTACTATGATATAAAATATTTGCAATGCTATTAATTTTGTACTTCTAGTTATAAGAAGAAAGGAAAGTACCAACATGCATGTTGTTGAAAGTGGTCTTGATAATCCTGTCTTATATTAACTAGAGTAGAAAAGCTTTAGGCTTTTAACTTTTAAAGGTTTTTAAGATCAAAGTAAAAAAGTTACCACTTCTTTGAAGATTTTTAAATTTAATAACATTTTATAATTAGCATGAATAGCTGCATAAAGTTTTAATATTTATCCAAAAGGGCAAGGGAATACAAAAGATTAAGAAATACAACAGAATGCGGCAAACTAAAACTCTAACCTTATGACGTTACTGTGAAAGTGTAACATGTTTGCTGTAGAGTAAAATTTAGCATATGAGAAATTGATTTTGGATATGAAGTATCAAAAGTATCTTAAAAATAAGTCTCTGCTGGGCCAGGTGTGGTGGCTCACACCTGTAATCCTAGGACTTTGGGAGGCCAAGGTGGGCAGATCACCTGAGGTTGGGAGTTTGAGACCAGCCTGACTAACATGGAGAAACCCTGTCTCTACTGAAAATACAAAATTAGTCAGGTGTTGTGGTGCATGCCTGTAATCCGAGGTACTCGGGAGGCTGAGGCAGGAGAATCGCTTGAACCTGGGAGGCGGAGGTTGTGGTGAGCCAAGATCGCACCATTGCACTCCAACCTGGGCGACAAGAGGGAAACTCCGTCTCAGAAAAAAAAAAAAGGATCTGCTACAAAGAAACTGTGATTTGGACCCTGTGACATTATAATAATGCAATTCTGTTTTGAATCTGTTTTTAACCTGTGTTCAGGTTGTGGAGTATTCATTGTCATTTAACTCTTTCAAATCAACATATTCTTGACTCAGTATGTGGTAAGTAAAGTCTTCATAATTGGGAGGCTGATACACAAATTGGGCTGAAATACTGCTCTACTTGTCACCATGCCTCCCTAGAATGAACTGCCTTTTGATGACCGGGACGAATTGAGTGAAATCGTAACGGACAGATACGGGGCAGACAGATTTTAGAGTAGACTTGTAAAGGGAATGGAATTCTTTCCTCGTTATAACTTGGATTTGTTGTCTTTTTCCCTTTTAGCCCTGCCTCTTTCTTGTTGCAGTCAGTTTCATCATCAGATAGAAACAGTGTTATACTACTTGAAAAGGTATATTTTAAAATGTCTCAATTAATTCTAGCCATACTAAATTATAAAATATTATTTATTTTTTTGATACCACAGTTAAATTTAATGTCTGTTTTTACATTTTCTAATATTTGTATATTTTGTACCATATCTACTTATATATTCCTTATTGCTAAGTGGGAATATTGGAATTAGTTAATTCTGCCAGTGACATACAATTTCACAATAATGTTAACCTTTTATAGGTTCCTGATAACCAGTGAACTGCTAATGAAGAAAGCTTCAAGATCAGCCATGATTATTAAGGGTTTAACATTACATATCTGTCTTCTTCAGGACACAAAGATGAGAACTCCCAAAGAAAAAAATGAAGCAATTTCTAAGAAAATACCAGAATTTGAAGTGGAAAATTCTCCATTATCAGATGTTGCAACGAATACAGAGAGTAGTACATTTGGAGGGTCTCTGCCAGCTAAAAAAAGTGATCCATTTCAAAAAGAGCAAGATCATCTGGTAGAAGAGGTGAGAAAAGACTATAATGAGTATACTTAAATATCAGTTATTAGATGGGCACAGTGGCTCATGCCTGTAATCCCAACACTTGGGGAGGTTTAGGCAGAGGAACACTTGAGCCCAGAAGTTCGAGACCAGCATGGGCAACATGGTGAAACCCATCTCTACAAAAAAGTTAAAAAAAAAACCAGTTGAGCATGGTGGTACGTCTCTGAAGTCCCAGCTACTTACTGGTGAGGCTGAGGTGGAGGATCACTTAAAGCCCAGGCTATTGAGGCTGCAGTGAGCTGTGTTTGCATCCCTACACTCTAGCCTGAGTGACAGACTGAGACCCTGTTTCAAAAAACAAAATCAAAAACAAGTATTTTCTCAATGGTGTTGGGATCCTAAGCGAAATACAGTTAATTATTGATTACCTGAGGTAATATGGGATAAAGAAGGCTAAGGATAATAAAAATTATGGTTAAAGCAAAATTCGTTTTCCTCCAAAGTGAGAATAGATTCAATATAAACTTTTTTAGTTAATATTACAACTGTGGTGCAGAACCCACTTCCCATTCTTTAAACATTACCTGAAAGTATACAAATGATACATTTGAGAAATTTTGGAGATTAACCATTACATAGTTAGATAAATGTACCCAGGGTTTATACTTTATTAAAATACTTTGTCAGTGTTGTTTGTTGCTTAGCTGAGTTTCCTCTTTTTTTGAATATTAGAACACGTTGCAGTATCATATCACTGAGTGTAGGTTTTGTTCTTTTTGCTGTCTAAAATATTTCAAAAGTGATTAGATGCATTGTTGTTAATGAACTTGATTTTCCTAACCAGCCCCATCCCTTAACACTATTCTGCTTTTCACTGGTAAGTGACCACACAGTGCTACCATTGGTCAGCATTACAGAACTCAGTTCACGCAAGTTAAATTCTGAAGTTATTTGTTAATGTTATTTTTAATACATTTCCCATAACATGCTTTAGCATTGCTTGGATTTGGTTAAGCAGCCAGAAAATTAGTGTTACTTTTTATTCCTGAGAGACTGAAAAAAATTTGGTTTAGTGGATATTAATTCAGGTATTAGACTTCCCTCCTTTATTGCATTCCCGATCAAACTAAATGAGCATTGTCCAAATAAGAGAACTGAATGTCAGACATTTTTCTTTTTTCTTTTAAGACAGGGTCTTGTTCTGTCACCCAAGCTGGAGTGCAGTTTTGCAATTATAGCTCACTGTAACCCCAAACTCCTGAGCTCAAGGGATCCTTCCACCTCAGCCTTCCAAATAGCTATGACTATAGGCGTGCACCACTTTGTCTGGCTAATAAGTTTTTTATTTTTTGTAGAGTTGGAGACTCACTCTTTTGCCCGGGCTGGTCTCAAACCCGTAGCCTTAAGTGATCCTCTAGCTTTGGCCTCCCAAAGTGCTGGGATTACAGGCATGAGCCACCATGCCTGACTGGATGTCAGTCATTTTTCTTGTTTGTAACAGGTCTAGTTTCATGGTCCTTAAGTACTTTTAAATCTCTAAAGTTCTTTTGTTTCTCTTCATTGACTCTACACTAAAGAAAAGATGGTTAGTCTTTTTTACTTTCCTAATTTTGAAAGGAAAAACACATTTTCTGATTAAAAGAATTTATATTAGCAATGGGATCAGATAGAAGAGGAAAGTCTTAAAATTTCATGAAGCTCTGAAAGTAAAATTAATTTTCTTTAAGAGTATTTATGACAGGGGATATTTAGTGTTTGAATTCCAGAAGCACTCTGTTTTCTTGAAGGAGAAGCCCTTTTTTTCTATGGGCCAATTTTATTTGTATTTTTTATTTTATTTATTTTATTTTTTTAAGACGGAGTTTTGCACTTGTTGCCCAGGCTGGGGTGCAATGGTGCCATCTCGTCTCACCACAGCCTCCGCCTCCGGGATTCAAGCGATTCTTCTGCCGCAGCCTACCAAGTAGCTGGAATTACAGGCATGCACCACCATGCCCACCTCCTTTTGTATTTTTAGTAGAGATGGGGTTTCTCCGTGTTGGTCAGGTTGGTCTCGAACTCCTGACCTGAAGTGATCCACCTGTCTCAGCCTCCCAAAGTGCTGGGATTACAGGCGTGAGCCACCATGCCCGGCCTCTTGGGCCAATTTAATTATGGCTTCCAGAAGTTTATTTTTTAGTGATGTCGGGGGCAGAGTTTTTAATTTGCATGTTTTTTCTTTTTCAGTTTTATTGATACTTAATAGAGAGCACTATTTTGATATTGGATACGTTTCTGTTTTAGAATGTACCTATACTTTTTTCAGTAATTTAGATCTGATAATGAGGTTTCTGGTGAAGAGGTATGTTGTCAGAATGATTCTGTTTCTTAATAGAGGTGTTGCTGTGCAAATTGATTATAATTGAGAAGAGTCTGCTTCCTTTAAAACTAGTCATTTTAGTGAATACAGAGCTGGCAAGCTTACAGTTGTGGTGGACAGCAGCTTAGGTCACTGCAGAATTGGAACTGCCCCTAAATCTTCCCGGTGTAAAGGTTCTTATCTCTTCTCTCCTTTATAATGGGCTATCCATTTAAGATGAGGAAATACTTCAGTGTTTCATTTTACAGGATTGTACCTAGATGGTCTATACAGAGTTGTTTGGGAACTTCTTTGTTGTTTATTTTTTGTGTTGTCTGCAATGGGAGGGGCTGCTGACTGTGAAATGCTTATTATCCTTATCAGGGGTTTTGTTGCATTCTGCCAATGGGCTTGGTAATCTTTGCTTTACCAATGGGCTTGGTAATCTTTGCTTTAGTTTTTCTTTTCTGTTTTAGATTGCCAGAGCAGTTTTATCTGATTCACCACAACTCTCTGAAGGAAATGAAATAAAATTAGAGGAACTAATTGACTCTCTGGGTTCTAACCCCTTCTTAACAAGGAATCAGATTCCCCGAACTCCAGAAAACTTGAGTAAGTTAATAATGCTTTCTGTTACTCTCTTTTGTTTCTTTGACATAACCACTGTTAGAACCATGACCTGACAGATCTTTTTAGCTTAGTTGCCAATGGTTCTTTATTTATGCTGTTGTACTCGACATACTAAGTGTGGGCATTCTCACATAACAGTCTTTTAGCAGTATTTTGTGCCTTTAGTGTACTCAGTATATAGAGATATAAAATTTTGATAACATACAATTTTGTCTTTGTTGTTTACTTTGCTTTTATCTAGAAAGATCTTATTTGAGCATTTAAAAAAAAATCTCTTGCCTCCTGGTCTGACCTGTGATCCACGTATTTATAGAGTACATAGGCTGTGTTCTGCCAGTCATCAACCAGAAGCATTAGCCATAAACCATGTGTGCGGAGGTCTTTACCCCTCCCAAATGAGTCAAACTGCCCAATACCTTTTTTGCTATAACTTGTAATTTGTGTAGGCAAAGTTCTGATATTGGTGTCCTTAGGTAGGCACATCATCTTGGTTGAGTAACTAAATAATTTCTGTTCTGCTGCTGATATAATTCAGTTTGGACTGAGCCACAGCCTAGGTCAGCAAACTATAGCCTATGAACCAAATTTGGCCCCACCTTGTGTGTTTTTGTATATAAAATTATGTTGAACATAAGCATTTTCATTTGTTGACATTGTTTATGGCTACTTTCATGCTATCATGGCAGAGTTAAGTAGTTGACAGAATGGATGACCTGCAAAGCCTAAAATATTACTATCTGGTCCTTATAGAAAATGTTTGCCAAACTGTGGCTTAGATGGACAAGAAAAGGTCTTTTTAATACATGTAATTCATATGTGCTGCGTAAAAATTGATGCACATTTTAAGAACAACTCTCTTTCTATGTGTTTATTTGTGTGTGATCAGTTGGAGATGGGGTTCTTTGATGTTGGGATTGGTTACATTGTGGAGCCTTGTCATCCAACCAGTATATTTATGGAACACATACTGAGTCGAGCTTTATCTTCAGTGTTAGAAATAATATGATTCATTGCATGCTCTATGTTTGGGAATGTTAGTAAATTGTGTTTTTCTCCCCTTTAATTGTAGTAACTGAAATTAGGAGCTCATGGAGAAAAGCTATTGAAATGGAAGAAAACAGAACTGCAGAACCAACTCAAATGGATGCTGAACATAGAGAAGTATTGCCAGAATCATTACCTGTGTTGCACAGTCAAAGAGAATTTAGCATGGATGATTTTCTCTTAGAAACCACTGTGTCAGATTTTGGCCAGTCTCGTTCGACTGAAGAGAAAGTTGTTTCAGATTGCAAGTGTGTGCCTCAGAAACCTGTGCTGACCAGTCACATAGATGAACCACCAACACAAAGTCAGTCAGATTTGTTAAATAAGAAAGTAATTTGCAAGCAAGATTTGGAATGTTTAGCCTTCACCAAGCTTTCAGAAACTAGCCAAATGGAGACATTCTCCCCAGCTGTTGGCAATAGGATAGATGTGATGGGTGGCAGTGAAGAGGAGTTTATGAAAATATTGGACCACTTAGAAGTTTCTTGTAACAAACCTTCCACAAATAAAACTATGTTGTGGAACTCTTTTCAGCTATCAAGTGGAATTAGTTCTAAGAGTTTTAAAGATAATGATTTTGGCATATTACACGAAACTCTTCCGGAAGAAGTTGGTCACCTAAGTTTTAATAGTTCCAGTAGTTCAGAGGCCAATTTTAAACTGGAGCCAAATAGTCCTATGCATGGTGGCATTCTTCTAGAAAATGTTGTGGGAGGGAGACAGACTACTCCAGAATCAGACTTCAATATACAGGCTCTTCGCAGTAGATACGAGGCTCTGAAGAAATCTCTTTCCAAGAAAGGGGAAGAATCTTACCTCTCGAATTCCCAAACACCCGAAAGACACAAACCAGAATTGAGCCCTACTCCCCAAAATGTACAAACAGATGATGTGCTTAACTTTTTGGACACCCGTGATTTGCATACTGACCATACAAAGACATCTTTACCCATGTCCATCGGTGAAAGAAAACGGTCTCTTTCACCACTAATTAAGTTTTCTCCAGTGGAACAAAGATTGAGGACCACAATATCATGTAGTCTTGGAGAACTACCTAATTTAAAAGGTAAGGTTTAACTAGACCTCTGCATATTCACCTGTTGAAGTTTTCTCTCAACTTTTGATAAAACCAGTACACAATGGATGCTGCATGACCTTTATTGTTAATGTGCTCCTCCTTCCTTCATTTAGGTTGAGGGGAATGATCCCTCACTGTAAAGGTCCTTTCAGAATCTCTGTTTATGTATATGTAGTTACAATTGATTTGAGACAGGGGTGGGAAAAAAAGCCCCCCCAACCTGAAACTTACTGCTTTTATAATACAAATAACTGAAAAGTAGTTGTCATCAAAATCTTGCCCACTGGAAGGTGGTTTTTAAAAACTTGAGAAACCCAATTTTAAATATCATCACTGTAATGGTGTAGTATCTGGGAGTGGGGTGTAGAAATAAAAGAAGCCAGGTCAGTGTATTAGTTTCCTAGGGCTGCCATAACAAAGCACCATAAAGTGGGTGGCTTGGAACAGCAGAAATTTATTGTCTTTGAAGACAGTAAGTTCTAGAGGCTAGATGTCCAAAATCAAGGTGTTGACAGGGCCATGTTCCCTCTGAAGCCACTAGAAGAGGATCTTTCTTTGCCTCTTCTAGCCTCTGGTAGCACCAGGCATTCCTTGGCTTGTGGCAGTGTAATTCTAATCTTTGCCTCCATTGTCACATGGTATTCTTCCCTTGTGTGTGTATGTGTCTTATAAGGACACAGTCATATTAGCTACTTAAGAGGTCACCCTACTCCAGTATGACCTCATCTTACTTAGCTAATTGTATCTGTAATGACCATATTTCCAAATAAGGTCACATTCTGAGTTACTGGGGTTAGAACTTCAACGGGGTATTAATTCAGTTCATAACAGTTAATATTAATAATTATTGAAGCTAGGTGATGGATACATTGAGTTAATCATAGTTTTCATCAGTTTTGTATGTTTGAATGTTTTCCTCATAAAAGGTTAAAAAAAATCGCTCTTGTAGCTCATTAGGAGAGATAAGGATCTGGTGATACAGATTCATTACGTATCACTCTGATTTGCCCATAATAGTTATACACTGACTGCTATATTGAGAAGTATTTGGCTGGGCACAGTGGCTCACGCCTGCAATCCCAGCACTTTGGGAGGCCTAGATGGGAGGATCACTTGAACCCAGGAGTTCGACACCAGCCTCAGCAATGCAGGGAGACTATGTCTCTACAAAAAATTAAAAAATTAGCTGGTCATGTTGGCACATGCCTGTGGTCCGAGGTACGCAGGAGGCTGAGGTGGGAGGATTACTTAGGCCTGGGAGTTTGAGGCTGGAGTAAGCTGCCATCGCGCCACTACTGCACTCCAGCCTGGGTGACAGAGCAAGACCCTGTCACAGAAAAAAAAAAAAAAAAAAAAAGAAGTATTCTAGGAGGAATGTATTGATCTCTGGAGAAAGAGAGTACTTTGGTGAGAATAATGATAATTTTATCATAATTGAGTATTTGCAAAACTATGAACTTTTTATCTCGACTAAAATTTGCTACTGCTTGGAATCTGTTCTATTTATTTTTCTTTGTAATGTTTGCTTATACTTTGTTTTAAAAATCAATTTGCAGAAGAAGACATTTTGAATAAGAGCCTTGATGCAAAAGAACCACCATCTGACTTGACAAGATGAAGACATACCTATTTAATATAACTATGATGCACTTAAATTGAAGCTATGCCACGGGATAGAAACTGAATTATAACTTAAATACATGTTGGAAGTGTAACACTGTTTTTCAAAGTTTTAAAAAAATTCCAAATGCCTTTTAGCCTTCTTTAATATTTTTAGGTAAGGAAAGTATGTTTGGATTTTTTCTCTTTGTAGGTATATGAGATTGAAATATGAAGTATTTGGAAAACAAACGTCAAGCAATGGGAAGCCATTTTGATTTCTTGAGTAATCTTGTAAGCATTAAGTGAATGACAAAGTAGTAGTGTAACTAATTTCTTATGTTATAACTTCAGTCAGTGAATATAAGGATGAGTAGTTTTTGTTGTATGTTCACTAAGTGGTTAATAGCCATTGAATATACTAATCTTTCATCGTAGAGAACTATACAACTTTTATTGTTTCTTTATGGAACATTCTGGCTGACCAGAAAAAGTGAGAAAAGTAGTACCTTGGGATGTGTAGTCAAGATGACAAATTTTAAGACTGGAAAAGCTCTAAACAAGCTTAATGATTATTCAAGTAGAATGATCCTGAGAAGTGATGTTTGGTGGAATAAAGTGCATGTGATGATTAAGTGAAGACTGGGGCAGAATGATTTAAAAAAAGGAAAAAGATGGAAGAAGATGAGTAGACACGTGTAAGGAACACTGTCAAACTATAAATCCATTCAGTGGGTTGTATAACATTTATATTTAGTCTAATTTAGACTTTGATAATTTAACTTAATCCTACTTTTATATTTTAACAAAAATATAAATTAAAATTTTCATTAGTCTGTTTTATTGTTGTTGGGTTATTTTGTACTCCCTGTTGAGAGAAAGGAACAAGGAACAACCATCAAAATTCCTCAGTCCCTACAGAATAGCCCCACAATAACTTGAGAAAACTGAACCTAGAGTTAAATAACTTGTCACACTTGTAGTCTCCTGCCTCACTCCTTCAGGTGCCCTGCCTAGAAAAAGACTTGGGTCTAGCATCCAAGTGAACACATACTATTGCCCTCTGTGAACCAGGAGGAATGGAACAGGCACTGGAAGGGTGATAGTACCTACAATACCCTTTGTAGTCCCCATCTCACAACCATCAAAATCTTGTCCACTAGCCCCCAAAAAACTGGCAAGGAAAGAAGGTGGAGGGGAAATTTATGGAAGTAGATGGCTTAATAGTTCATCTCTCTTCATTTATCTTGGACTGCCTTTCTCTAAGTTGTTTGTGCTGTCCCAGTGTGAAGACTCATCTTTTTGTGAGAAAAGACAAAATGAAGCACATGTAACTACCTTCTTTGCAATGGAAAAGGAGAAGAAAAAAATCTTCTAAGTTGCTGTTTTCTTTTATTAGTTAATAAAACAAATCAGGGACTATGCAGGTCTATGGGGAAACCTTTAGTCTGCTTTAAGAAAACTCAGTATCTGAAAATCTTAGCATGTAACGCTATCATATCAGCATCTGCAGAAGTGCCAAGGCCATTGCTAGACACTTAATGTGTATTATTTCATTTAATTATATTTTAAATGTGCTTCCCTAGTAATTCTTAAGCTCAAGAAAGAGTTTGAGAACTGCCGCTAGGAAATAGAGATTCACATTTAACCCTGTGGTACTTTTAAGAAGCAGGTATGTTGTTACGTATATACTTCGGTAGAGATTGTTAACTATCGATAGGGAAGCTCAAGTTCGCCACTCAAGTCTGAGAAACCCTTAATTACTGAGAATCAAATGAGTAGAATGTCTGTAGACATTTTGGATTTGTAAAAATCACGTTGTTGAGTTATACCTGTGATAGGCTGAAAGTTTTTGGCATTCTTTCCTGTTCTTCATATGCCAGTAACATAAACAAAAAATATCTCAGATCTGTCACTTTCTTCTCCTAAACCAAAGTGATTGCGGCTTTTTGCCTGCAGCCTTTTCCCTATCCAATATCTCCTGCATAGTTACCTTTTGATCTTAAGAACTGTGTTGATTGGGTCACTTCCTTGCCTAAGGCATGTAAGTTCCCCTGTAGCAGATTTCTTCTATTCCCCCTTCCACTGTAATCTCCCTTTTTTTTTACTGAAATGCTTCAGTGAGCATGGGTCTTTAGGGGTCTTGGTTTACAATTTTTCTGAAGCAGGAATACCTTGCCTTCCTCTACTGGTTTACCACAATTACAGCTCTCTTTTAAGCCTCAGAAAAAATGTCACTTCCACCTTGAAGTCTTAATCCACGCTTTTTATATCCATGTGCCTATTCCTTCTCTGAAATCTCCTATGGTATCTTAACTTTTTATTCATTTTATGTCCCACTAATTGATTTTATTATATATTTTTTATGGTTGCATGTGGTCTCTCTAGTTATAGCAATATATACATACATACATACATACATACACACCTATGTAAATGTGTGTCGGGAGTATGTATTCACACACAGATACCCCAAGGCCATGTGTCATCTTTATCAATTGTTTAAGTTTTGGAATTGTTTAGTTTGCCTCCTATATCATGGAATAAATGGTAAAGAGGGCTAATTCATTACTGTAAGTGGATTTCTCATTACATTCATATCAGACATTATATAGAATGTACTGTTTTGTTCACTGTTTGTAAGATACAAAGGTGTATAAACTGACTTCTACATCAGCTTGAAACCTGAGATAATGTTAAAATGTTCTAGTTATTTTAAATGTTTAAAGAGAACCACCATATAATGTTGCTAAACATGAAAAATGTCATCAAGTGGAATAAAGAATAGCTGAAGTTAACAATTGGGGGAAATTGAACTGAAAACAAAAATACGAGTATTTTGAAACCTTTTCTTTACCATGAGTCTCTTGACTATGAAGTCAAATTTATCTAAAGAAAAAACAGGAATTCTGGAGATCTGTGTAAAAGCAGACTATTATCTTCCTACTGTGAGTGTACTAAAATTGAAATATGTTTAATGACGTTTTCCTCAATGTAGAAGTATTGAAGTAAATGTTTCTTTTATGTTGCAGATACATAGTTGCTCTAGAGATCACCTTTTTCTTTAGGCACCGTGAATAGCAAGTCCACATCCTAAGTTGAAAATATTTGAGAATCCTCTATGGGAGTCTTTGTAAATATTTTAAATACTGTTGTTTTCAATAAATATTTTATACTATCTGGCTCTGGAATTTCCTGTATAATATCAAAAAGAACTATGCCCCTGCAAACCTTAAGATGATCACATATAAAGGTATATTAATAACCTGATCAACACATTTGAGAGGTTCAGTGATTCAGGTAAACATGTTTTGTTACTTCCATTTTAATTACTAGATTTACTGTACGTAGTATTTTAAAATGAATTTTTAAAGTAATATCTATACTGTCACTTTTCTCATATGGAGTCTTTACACTAATGTATTGCCAATGGCCCTAATTAGGTAATTTTTATAAATTACACCTGAATAGCTTCTTACTCTTCATAAGTAGTGTCATCCACATCTGCTGCTAGAAAGGGTTTAATAAATATTAAATAATTTTATAAAGCCTTAGAAATTCTAAAGCCCTATCACTTATATATACTGTCCATACAAAGATAGCACCTCGGGTGTAAAATGAGAGGCTTAGAGTTGATCACAGGTCTCTTGGCTCTAAAATACTTAGCTTTCTTTTCAAACAATTCATAAGGCAGCTATTGCTGGAACTGGAATGGGACATTTTAAGATCTGTTTGCCCATTTTACTACACATTGCCAATCCAAATTAGGAACCTCAAAATCCTTTCTTAAAAGTAGGTGATCCAAGAATCTGGTTCAGTATTATCCAATTTCCAGAGAAATGCAAATGGGAAAGTGATCTTGCCCAAAACGAGTGAAACCCTATTCCTTGAGGAAGGTCACTTAGCTTCCTGGGCTTCAGCTTACTCAGTATGTAAATTCGGAATTATATGAAGGAATAATACACATTTAAAAAGCTAAGACCCATCAGTGCTGATCTGTGCAAGTTATAAGAACAAAAAAATTGCCGTGTGCAGTGGCTTACGACTGTAATCTCAGCACTTTGGGAGGCTGAGATGGGCGGATCACTTGAGGTTAGTAGTTCGAGACCAGCCTGGCCAACGTGGTGAAACCCCCATCTCTACTAAAAAATACCAAAAATTAGCTGGGCGTGGTGGTGCATGCCTGTAGTCCCAGCTACTTGGGAGGCTGAGGCACGAAAATGGCTTGAACCTGGGAGGCGGAGGTTGCAGTGAGATCACGCCATTGCACTCCAGCCTGGGCAAAAGAGCGAGACTCGTCTCAAAGAAACAACAACAACAACAACAAAATAAAAAGCTATGACTCTTACGGTTAACTTTTCAATGGAAGTAATGGGGTGTAATGATGAGGAGAGTCAGTAGTCAGATTGCCTGGGTTTAGCTGTATGAGCTTAATAAGGTCATAGCAATTTGCTCATCTGTTAAAATAGCGATCAAAGTAACCTACCACATAGGTTGTGAGGATTCAGTAAGATAAATGCACACGTGCTTAAGAACACCTGACATTTAGTAAGGGATCAAATATTCAAATAGGTTTCACATCCAGTAAATTGGGGAAGAATGGCTCAGTAGATGGTAATGGTAGTTAACACAGGACGCTATGCGCGCTATGCGCTAGGCACCGTTCCTAAATACCATGTTGAATTTAATCCTTTTAAACATCCTTTCAAGTGGTGTTTTTTTTTTTTTTTTGCTGTTTTTGAGATAGGGTCTTGCTTTGTCACCCAAGCTGGAGGGCAGTGACACAATTATACCTCACTGCAACCTCTACCTCCTGGACTCAAGCAATCCTCTTTTCTCAGCCTCCCAAGTAGCTAGGACTGTAGGCACCCACCACTATGCCTAGTTAATGAAAAAAATTTTTTTTTTGTAGAGACAGGGTCTCACTATGTTGCCCAGGCCGGTCTTGAACTCCTGGTCTCAGGTGATCCTCCCACTCAGCCTTCCAAAGTGCTAGAATTACAGGTGTGAGCCACCACACCTGGCTATAAAGTAGTATTCTGACCCACATTTTACCAATGAAGGAACAAGTGTAGTGAAATTAAGTACTTGCTCATGTTCACAGAGCTAGTAAGTGAAGGGACCAGAATACTAACTCAAGTGGTCTAGCTTGAGTCCATAGCATAAGCACTTCTACAGCTGTTACCAAACATCACTAAAATGCTGGGGGCTAAACTCACAGAATCAAATTTGCCAGTCAAGCAATACTTGTGGGCAGTCAGAATCTTTAGATTTACATATTAAGCACTTTCGAGTTATTTCAAATAAGGCCATGTTTTAAATTGCTAACACGTTTATTCAGGAATGAAGCCAAGAAGAATTTATAAATGCATTTTAATACCTTACTGATAAAATAGTAACATTCCATCTTTGCAATCTGATACGGAATACAGGAGATACTGGTAAAGGCTTTGATGTGCATATCTATTATAACCAGGTAATGAGAACACACACGAACCACCTACTTTAGTGTTACATCATACCAACTTCTCAGAAAGGCCAGCTTCAAAGCTCTACTGGGTAGCCGAGTAAATAGCGTCCAATGTTTAAAGACTGGGGAGCCGGGGAAAAAGATGAAAGGAGTAAGCAGCACACACTTCAAAGCCCACTTTTAAGCACACGACATTATGAATATTAAAAATAAAGGATGCAAACAAAAAAAGGCAATTCAGCATTTTCAGAAAGAGCATTTGGCAATATTCAACGCATAAGAAGACTGTGCTTGGGGCCATCCACTCTCTCCAGCTTCTCAAAGTGTTTCCGGGCATTGCGAATGTTGATCAGAGTGGCCGCAGAAGGGA